GTTAGTGAGCTCTCAAAGACTAACTAAAGAGCCTCACTAACCACTAGATCCGACACAAGTTTAGCTCTCAAAACTAATTACACTAAAGAGCTTAGCAACACTAGGAAAGTAAATGCACATGTGAGGTAGTGAGGTTATACCGACGTGGCAACCGATGATCAATCAATCAATCACAATGAATACCAAGAAATCCTCAGGACAAGATGACACAATGATTTATCTCCGAGGTTAACTTGCTTGCCGGCAAGCTACGTCCTCATTGTAGCGATTCACCCACTTAGAGGTTCACGCGCTAATAGGCATCATACGTCTAATCCTCAATCGGGTGCTGCACAACTAACACAAGATGGGGATCCACAAGCCACAAGCAATCCACTAGAGTACCTTTTGGCTCTCTATCAGAGAAAGGTCAAGAACTCCTCACAATCATCATGATCGGAGCCGGAGACAATCACCTTTCTCCACTCGACGATCCTCGCTGCACCAAGCCGTCTAGGTGGCAGCAACCACCAAGAGAAACAAGTGAAATCCGCAGCGAAACATAATCACCAAGTGTCTCTAGATGCAATCATTCAAGCAATGTACTTGGATTCACTCCCAATCTCACAAAGATAATAAATCAATGATCGAGATGAGTGGGAGGGCTTTGGCTAAGTTCACAAGGTTGCTATGTCAATGCAAATGGCCAAGAGAGTGAGCTAGAGCCAGCCATGGGGCTTAAATAGAGGCCCCCTCGAAATAGAGCCATTGGCCATTTGCATTGACATAGGTGACCATCGGACTCACTGGCACGGGGCCGTTGGACCGTCCGATGCTCGGTCCGACGCCCTGCTGCGTCCACTCTCGCGCTACCACGTGTCCCAGTCAAATGAGTCGACCGTTGCCGCCAATGGTCAAGCAGTCGCGCACTGAACAACCACAGTTGGACCCAGACCGTTGGACCCACCGTCGGACTCCACACAGGCAGGGTCTAACACGGTCCAGTAAGGTCCAGAGAGCACAAAATCGGTCGGACTCTGGTCCGACGCCCACCATCGGACCCAGGCGGGAGTCCGACACCGCCTTCTCTCCGCGCGGGCGTTAGGGTCAGCCGTCGGACCCAGCCAGAGGCCGGTCCGACGCTGAGTCCGACACGAAGACCTTGCTCTTGGTCTCTGATCAAACACGCTGGGGGACCGTCGGACCCAGGGTCAACCTAGTCCAACGCCCTAGAAAACCAGGGTCCGACGCCCTGTTTTCACTCCTTTTGAACTCCAACTTCACCACCCTTGCTTAAATGTGCCAACCACTAAGTTTACTATCTTGTGCATGTGTGTTAGCATATTTTCACAAATATTTTCAAGGGTGTTAACCATCACTAGAATCTAAATGCATATGCAATGAGTTAGAACATCTAGTGACACTTTAATAACCGTATTTCACGACGAGTTTCACCCCTCTTAATAGTACAGCTATCTATCCTAAATGTGATCACACTCGTTATGTGTCTCCACCACCAAACCAAAAAGCTCCTATCAAGATTCACCTTTGCCTTAAGCTTTTTATTTTTCTCTTTCTTCTTTTCCAAGTCCGAGTACTTGATCACCATGGCCATCACCACCATCAACATGATCTTTATTTGCTCCATCACTTGGAATGTGCTTCCCTATTCTCATGATCACTAGAGCAAGTAGGTTAGCACATAGGGTTTCATCAATTCACCAAAACCAAACTAGAGCTTTCAGCGTCGTCCCAGTACTGGTCTCCCTCCTCGAGACCGGGCGCGCGCGTGGGGAGAACCAGCAACGCGCCGTGGAGGCCAGCGTCGTACGGCCCCTGCTGGACCTCATGGCCGACCCTGAGTCCGGCATGGTGGAAACGGCCGCGTACGTCGTCCACTCCCTCGTCAGCTCCGGCGAGGGCCGCGCCGCCGCCGTCGAGGAAGGCGGCATCCCCGTCCTGGTCGAGTTGGTCGAGGTCGGCACCTCGCGATGGTGTGTTCGGCGCAGGGTCGAAGGGGGGCAGCTCGAGCAGCATCCTCTTGCGCACGGAGGAGGCCGGGAGGAGGTAGCGGCGCTTGCGCCCCGCATCGGCGGCGCAAGGCGCGGAGAAGGCGACAGCGTAGTGCGCAGGGTCGATGCGAAGCTCGGCGAGGTGTCGCGGCGCTAGCGGCGGAGTGAAGAAGAAGGGCTCCGGTGTGGGAGGTGAAACTTGGACCGGGAGGTGACAGGATGCGGCGCGTGAGGACGGAGCGAGACTGGCCCGGGAGAAACGAAGCTTATGGATGTTTCCCCAGATGCAGGAGAGAGAGAGAGGAAGATTTGCAGCCGGCCGGGCTGAAAACTGGACCAAAGAAATCAAGCAAGGCCGGTTGCAGCTGGAGGGCGGCAGGGCCACCCCTGGGCTCATCAAAAGCGCCCTCAGTATCTGATCCTCCACTCTCTCGTACTGTGCGTATCTTTAGCGCCTTTCCCATTGCATCATCCGGCCGGCTGGTCCCCGCCGACGCAAGCAAGCTAGCTCCGACGTGGCGAGCCCGCACTGGTACAGCGTACGAAGGCCGGATTCCTGTGGGGCCTCGGCGTTATCCTCCGACGTGGCACGCCGGAGTCCACGGGAGGGCGCGGAAGAGTCTCCGGCGAGGTCTGCGTCAATCCAGAACGAAGCTGCGTCGCTTGTTTGTTTATTTGCGGTTGCGCTGCTGAAAAAACACGCAAGCTAGGTACGAGTAGTCGAGTACGTACATACTTGACACTCCATATCCTGCTACTTGGACTTGGACCGATCAATGAGATGAGATGGTATTTCTTCTTTGGGAATCGATCGGCAAACGTTGCTGTTTCATGCAGATGCAAACACAACAGCATCAGCCACAGCAAGAAAGGAAAAAAAAAACTGGGAAACACTAGGTATATATATGTGTGATGAACTGATGATGATGATGCAGGCAAAGAGCTGTACTGTACCTATCAGACCAAGGTTATTCCAAGTTTTTACTTTTATAGATACTCAAACAAGTAATAGCTGTATGGATGTATGTATCTACTCTGTGTTAGTATAAACCATGAACACCTTTTTTTTTCTCAACTTAGTACGCGGGAAATTTGGAATTACATACTAGGAACAAACAAATAACTAACAATGTGTGTGTATGTATGTATGTATGTATATACAACTACATACAACTACAGAACTACTCCTAGATAGCACTGTTTGCTTTAACTTGGGATGATGATGTCGTACCTACCCTACCTACAAGCATACAGTACGAACAGCGTTAGATCGTGAGAAGAAGGTTCAGACTTCAGACGAATCGTAGCCGCAGGATAAAGCTAGGCAAGGACTCCAATGAGGTTAATTAGTTACATCCAGCGTCACTTTTTTTTTCTTTCTAAAACACGACTTCACGTGTATTAAGACATCCAGCGCAACTGTACGAGTAGGACACAGTGGTGTAATGCAGGCGAGTACGGAAGCGTAGGCCTCAAGACGGGGGCCTGCCGCCTCGTCTCGTCCGCGAGACCGACCGATCCAGTCACGGCAAGCATCGTCCACTAGTTCAGTTGCCGATGGAGAACTGAGCGATGATGTTGAAGACGACGACGACTAGCTAGCTAGACCAGGACGCCATTCCAAGCCCGGATTGGAATTGCAAGTGGACTTCACATCACTGTGGACGACGCCGACGCGTGATTTCTGGTTGCTGCGGTGGCTCTGCTCGTCGTCGACCTCCAAATAAACACCAACCATGCAAAATTCGTTGCATCCAATCAGATCTTCTTCCCAAATCCATTAGACTATCTCCAACAGTCCAAACCCAAATACAAGATCCATTCTAAGAATTGGGTCATGAACAGTCACTAGGTCACCCACCCAAAATTTTCTTTCTCCAACAGTAAACCCAAAATTTTCTCTCCGGGAACAAAATATCTACCACTTGTTCCTCCATTCCTCTCCCTCCAACTCTCCAGAAATCTCTCCCTCTCTCCATGACCAGCGGCGGTGCACCCGCATGTGCGCGCGCACTCTCTCCCTCTCTCTCCCTCTCCCAATGTGGCAGCGCACCGGGCGGCCTCCAGCGTGGCGGCGCGCCCGGCTGGGCCTCGGCGGCGGCTAGCCCCCTCCTCGCCCCTCTCCTCCTCCGACCGTGCGTCTCTCTCTCTCTCTCTCTCTCTCTCTCTCTCTCTCTCTCTCTCTCTCTCTCTCTCTCTCTCGCCTTGGCCCTGCTGCTTGGCTAAGCCTCTCGTGGCAGCCAAGCCTCTGCCGGTGTTGGCCGTGGCCAAGCAAGCCTCCATGGTGCCCGCCCAAGACAGTGCTGGAGCCCTTCTCGCCGGGGCTGCTAGGCTTAACGTGCCTTCGGCGGGCGGCCTGGCGAAGCCCCCCTCAGGCTGGGCGGGCGCCCACCACTACGGCCGCAAGATTTTGTGTCGTCTCTCCTCGACGACGCTTTTTTGCGTTCTTGCCGGCCTCGGATCCAAAATGGGTTCTTTGTATGAGTCTTCTGTTGGAGCGTGATTTTGGATATGCAAAGAACTGTGCGACACCAATTTTGTGTTTGGGTGTCTCTATGGGAGACAGTCTTACTAGCACGGTAGCATAGCAAGTACTATAAACTAATGCTATAGCAAGAAACGAGAGGCCAGCAGCGAGCTCTCGAGAGCCGGCGAGCAGTGGGATGGGACCAGGGGCGGACACAGCGGTGGGGCTTGGGGGGCTCGAGCCTCCCCTACCCATGTCGGAGCAGTGGAACCCCTGTGGAGTCTCCATAATTTTTTAGGCAAAGTTCTATAGTGTAGAGGGTCTGAGACTTAAAATCGAACAGCAGTGTTGTTCAACCCCCTCCCCCCTGAAATATATCCTGGGTCCGCCGCTGGATGGGACCTCTATATATGAGAGCGAGATGAGGTGGATCTCAAGACTGTGCCCTGCCTGCTCAGCAGTCAGCAACTCGATTGGAGCTTGCACTACACAGCTCTGGCTCTGATCCTTGTGTGCAGTGCAACCCTGCATAGCTAGCTAGCATGGCAGCTTCCTCCATGGACAGGATTACCCAGTGGTATATATGCTGATCGCTGAAGCCTCTGTTCGTGCTTCATTTCGGTTCAGGGTGCACGCATGCTGATGACGATCCTCCTGTGTTTGTTGTTGCCTTCTGCAGGGTATCGTCCCAGGAGGTCGCTGCCGACCTCACCGTCAGAATCGCCGACTCCGTCTTCCCTCTCCACAAGGTACGGTGGCGGCGGTGTTCACTCTGCTATCTTCTGTTCAAAGATCAAATCTTTTTTTTTCATCAATCAATCAAACACAAAAGAATCAAACGATTGATCGTCAACACACACTGACACACGGCAAGACCATTGATCATTCACAGCGGTGCTGATTGATTCCCTCTCTCATCATTCATCAACGAGCAGGCGGTGATGGTGCCCAAGTGCGGCTACATCCGCCGGGCCGTGGCGGCGGCGAGCCAGCCGCAGGGCACCGGGGCCGGCGCCGTCGAGCTGGACCTGTCCGCGCTGCCGGGCGGCGCCGACGCCTTCGAGAAGGCGGCGCGGTACTGCTACGGCGGCAGCCTGGAGATCACGGCGCACGACGCGGCGGCGGTCCGCTGCGCCGCGGCGTTCCTCGACGCCCCCGACATGGCCCGCCGCGCCGAGGACTTCCTAGCGCAGACCGCGCTCCGGTCGCTGCCCGACGCTGCCGCCGTGCTGCGGTCCTGCGAGATGCTACTCCCGGCCGCCGAGGAGCTCGGCGTCGCGCGCCGCGCCGCGGACGCCGTCGCACTCGGGGTCTGCAACGAGGCGCTGTTCCCGACGGCGAGGCCGGGGGCGGGGGCGACCGGGTGGTGGGCGGCCGAGCTCGCGGCGCTGTCGCCGGCGTCGTTCCGGAGGGTCGTCACGGCGCTGCGGTGCCACCGCGCGGGACCGGAGGTGGTCGCCGCCGCGGCCGTCGCGTACGCGGAGCGCGTCCTGGCCGGGATCCTCGCGCCCGCGGCGGCGCTCGGGCCCGGCCGCCGGGACCGCGACGCCGTCGTCCGGGCGGACGCGGACCAGCGCGCGCTGCTCGAGGCCGTCGTGGACGCGCTGCCTCCCGCCGCGGACGCGCCGCTCCCGGCCGCGTTCCTCTGCCGCCTCCTCCACGCCGCGGTCACCGCCGAGGCGTCCGCCAAGACGTGCCGCCACATGGAGCTCCGCGTGGCGGCCGTGCTGGACCAGGCCACCGCGGGGGACCTGCTGGGCGTCGCGCTCGATGGCGCCGGGGAGCGCGTCAGGAACGCCGACACCGTGCGCCGCGTCGTCGCCGCGTTCGTCGAGCGGCAGCAGCGTCAGCCGCCGCAGACGCAGGAGGTCCGGCGGCCGTCCCTGGCCGCGGGCGAGCTGCTGAGCGCGACCGGCGCGCTGGAGAAGGTGGCGAAGACGGTGGACGAGGTGGCGGCGGAGATGGCGACGGAGGAGTCGCTGCCCATCTCCAAGTTCGTGGGCGTGGCGGGCGCGGTGCCCCGGGACGCGCGGCCGTCGCACGACTACCTGTACCGCGCCGTGGACATCTACCTCAAGACGCACCCGGGGCTGGACGAGATCGAGCGGGAGAAGGTGTGCAGCGTCATGGACCCGCTCAGGCTGTCGTACCAGGCGCGCCTGCACGCGTCGCAGAACAAGCGGCTGCCGCTGCAGGCCGTGCTCAGCGCGCTCTATTACGACCAGCTCAAGCTCCGCAGCGCCGACGGCGGCGGCGGCGGAGGCGGCGCGGAGGAAGGAGGGTGGGAGACGCAGTCGGCCGCCAGGAAGGCCCGCGCGCAGGCGCGGGCTGACGCGTCGCTGGCAAGGGAAAACGAGGCGCTAAGGTCGGAGCTGGCAAGGATGCGGGCGTACGAGTCGGGGATGCAGCAGCACAGCAAAGGGAGCGGGTCGAGGTCGTCGTCGTCGTCGCGGGTCCCGGCGGCGGCCGCGGGGAAGAAGGCGAGCTTCTTGGGGTCGGTGTCCCGGACGCTGAGCCGGCTGAACCCGTTCAAGGGCGGGTGGGCCAAGGACACGGCCAGCATCGCCGACGGACGTGACAGGAGCGCCATGCATGTGGTCAAGCCAAAGAGGAGAAGGTTCTCCATTGGCTAAATTCTATTTGTATGTATATATGATCGTGTGTTTGATTTATATTATAATATTATGTAACTAGAAAAGGGTGTGCGTGCTTGTAGTTTCAATGTTACCTTTTTTTTTTATTCCTTCTTATAATCTTATTATAGTGGTCAAGAGTGCTTACAATTGTATCTATACACTAGATATATGACCGTGCCTTGCACGGGAGCCATATTTTTACCCACGCGCATTTACAATGACAAATTTAATTATTTTTAGAAAATAATAAAAAACTAATACACAAATTTATATTGACGATCATAAACTATTTCATATATATATATATATATGAAACCATTTATCTTTTCGTCTACTCTCTGCATCCGTCCTCTCTTTTCATGTTGTAGTGTCTGTCCGTGAGTTTTTTCTCGTTGTTTGCGTTCGTGTACGCCCTCGCGGCCATGAAGCTTCACAAGGGCACTCTGTTGTCATGGATGATCAGTCCTCGCATCCTGCTTGCCCTCGTCATCGTCGCCACACCAGTCCTCGCATCCTGCTTGCCCTCGTCATCGTCTCGCTCTACGACGTCAACTTCGTTGATGGTTACGAGTACATACACTGCACCTCCTCTTCATCCTCTGCACCGCCGTGAACGACGTCTCCGTCTACCACCTCTGTAACGTCCCACCTCTCCGAGGCTGGGCCCGCTTACATCTGATAGCTTTTCAGGAGGACATAGCCTCGCGCCTCACGCACAGAACACACTTTGTTTTTTCTGCGACTTTGTCCTCACTCATGCGCCCGAGGAAGAACTTCCCGTCGGTCACTCCCATCGCCTCCAGGCAAGCACGCTTAACCTTGGAGTTCTTAAGAGATGGACTTCGGAAAAAAGTTGCAACTTGTTGAGTACGCAGTATCCTATTAATCCTATTAAGCCCACGAGCACGGGTGTTACATCCTCACCTTTAAGAGATCGACGTCCTCGTCGATCAAAATCTAAGCCAGAACGCCCCCCTCTTAGCACGTCTGTGTAGGTCACCCCCCATTACATTTGATAGCTTTTCTAGACATGCGCAAGATGTGCTAGGCGTGCAGTGACCACGCCGGATCCACACCACCATGCGCGCACCATGCTCAAGAATTCACCACACACGACACCGCACCGTGAAAACCGCGAGAGTCGGCTCGATACTATTCTCAGAACGCCCCACCTCTCCGAGGGTGGGTCCGCTTACATCGATGATAGCTTTTCTAGGACATGATCGGCCTCACAGACCAACACGGTCTTTTTTCGCGACTTTGTCCTCACTCATGCGCCCCGGGAAGAACTTCCGGCCGGTCACCCATCGCTCCAGGCCAAGCACGCTTAACCTTGGAGTTCTTAAGAGATGGGCTTCCAGAAAAGAAATTGCAACTTGTTGGTACGAGTATCCTATTAATCATATTAAGCCCTGAGCCTCGGTGTTACATCGGTCCCAGTGCTGCGTCGCCGCCGAGCCAAAGGCGGGAGCGGGCTTGGCTCTTGCTGTGTGTCGTGGGTCGTCGGATCCTTCGGGCCGCCCAAAGATTATGTGAAAGGAATTGTTTTCATTTATTCTTTATTACTTGAAAATGAAATAGGTTGAAAAATGTTTGGGGTGCTCAAATTTGCTCCAAATTTATTGAAACAAATTTTTCTAGGTTCCTTATCATCAGATCTACTTGGGAAAATTATTGCATGTCATTTTTGGGATACTTTTCTGTAGGATTATATTTAATCATGTATATTGCTGATAACTTGAAAAATGTGTAGAAAAATATATAGGCTTCAGAAAAATATGATTCCAAGTTTGTTAATCTTCTTATGTCATGTACTTCCTAGGAAAAATAAGTTTCATGCATGTGCTGTGGGAAAAATTTAAAGTGTAGTTCAAGTGCCTTTAATGGCTAATTTTTGTTATTTTTGTTAGAGAGCAAACTCTGTATAAAACATACATGTGATAAATTTTTTTTACAGTCATTGCATGCTATGTAGAACATAGGAAAAATTCTAATTCTGTTGTTTGACAATTTTCACAGTACAAAGTATTTTCATGTTCATGATCATGCCATAGCTTGTTATTTTTGTGTAGCCTATGTTACTGGTCCAAATGCCATGAAAATTTTATGGTAGTCTACTTAGAGTATTACTATGCTACTGTAATTTTCTTAGATTTTTATAAGCACTAGAAATATAGATTGCTGTTGTAGCCCTAATTAAAAAGGAAATAAAATAATCCTCTTTAATACAAGATTAGTTAATAATAATAGCTTTGGTGTATCTTTGAAGCATTTGATAAGGGTGTTTACTTAACCTATTAGTAGTAGAAGAGAATGCAGTAGATGACATGTGCTTGTGGTATATTTTCTTGGATGATGTGACTACCTTGCATTCGAACATATCCATTGTTTTCATCTCATCCGATGCACCGATTGCATAAGCACTTACGCACATTGCATCATACAGGATCGCAAACCGAGAACCCGGTCGTCATACCCGAGGAGCCCGAGGAGCAGCTCGAGGTGCAGCAGCAGGAAGTGCCAGAAGCCGACGAGGAGGACGTTGAGGAACTTCCGGAGTGGCCCGATCACCGCCCGAGCTCCTTCGAGAGAGGCAAGCCCCGGAGCATCTTTCTCCCGGTTTGCGATGATTTCATTAAATGCTTTACTTTAATTGATGCATTACGTTCAGGAGTTGTTTGCAACTGTTGCTGCATTATACCTTGTTACCTTTGTTATACTATATCCTTGTTACCATGGTATCCGCGGTCGAGTCAATGCTTAGCTGGCGTAGACCGGCAGAAGTCGGGTGATTTCCTGTCACCTGCGAGCTATAGGTGGTTACCTGGATCTGCTTGGATGGCTATGAAGTCATGGTATAACTAAGTGTGAAATGAAGTTGAGACCGGACGGAGACTTGTAGAGTTTTGGACTGTAGTGTTTCCGTCTGTGTCGATTAAGGACCGACCGTTGTTGGGCCTCGAGTCATGTTGAACGCATGTCTTACATTTAGCTGGCCGGATAAAGTACCTTCCGACCGCGAAGCTGGGAGATTTTTCGGGCCGAGTAGATTGCCCGCAGCGCACTATGCCGAAGCAGGTGTGGTAGGACACGGGGGCGGAATGATAAGACCAAAGTGCAGTCGGTCGGCCCCCGGGTACATGTGGTTCCTGGTAAACTCGAGATACCTGGAAAGTTGACTCGGTGATCAATATCTCACTTTAGCGGGTGAGTGAGATTTGTGTAAGGAATAAATCACCAGCTGGTTAGGAATCGATTCGAATCGCCATCGCTCCTGGATAGTGAGCACTTGACTTGAGTTACTTCATCGTAGTAAATGTTTATGGAACACTTGGATAGTTATAGTGAATATGACAGTATGGAAGTTGTTTAATGATCAGTGGTTATCATTAATTGCTTAATCACATGTTTACTCTAGTATAGATGCAAATCTAGTCGATAAGTTAATAATAATTAAGTTGGCAATAACGCTTTTAGAAAAGTTATGGAAATGCTAAAAATGCTTCTTTTGCAAATGAGTCAGCTACCCTACTATAAAGCCTTCATAATCCTTGGTGTCATTTATTTTCGGTTATATCGGGTAAGTCTAGCTGAGTACCTTCTCGTACTCAGGGTTTTATTCCCACTTGTTGCAGATGGACAGATGTATTACGGCTATTGTATCAACTGCCTTTATCCTGCGATGGGTGATGCTTAGGACCATGGGCAGGGTCATTCCTTACGTCTCGTCTGATGCTTTTGTTGGAGATGATCATTCGCTGGCACTATATTTAAACTCCGCGTGAGTGTGTGTGTGGTTTGAACAAATGACTTCCGCTACTTTTCTTCGAACTGGTTTGTAATAACTATGTTTAAACTCTGATGTATTTGAGATTGCGAACTTTTATGTAATATGTGATGGTGACCGCTAAACTTATTACGATCTTGGCTGGAATGGAAGTTGGTTTGAAATCCTTCGCGATTTCACGGACTACCGGGTTATACGGGCTTAAGTTTGCTAAATCGTCTGCTCTGGCGGATGATTTTCTTACTTAATTTCGTATAATTGGTCGGTTCTGTTACAACCTCCTTGTCTTCGAAGGCGTCTTAGGTCAACTCCACCTCATCTTCGTCGTCTCCGGCCACCGTCATGGAGGCATGCGACCTTATGCGGGCCAATATGTGCCGGACAACGAGGCGTCTAGTGATGTGCCCGTTCATCGACTACCTCCTCCAGAACATCATGAAAACGCCCGTGGATTTTTTAAGTACAGGCGACGCGGTGCCTTGGGCGTGGCTAGCGCCCGGACATCCGGACGCTCGCGCAGCCCGCCTTCCGCACGTGCACCCCGCCCCTGTTGCGCCCCGCTCCTTCCTGACCCCTTCCTCTCCTCCGCGTGGGTGGGACCCGGGAGCCGACGCCTAGCTCGCTGCACGCCCTGTCCGCTGGTCCGCAGCTCTACCACGCCCCCATCCCCCGGCGTCCGGGCCGTGCGCCCATCACTCACCATGCCCCGTGAAACACTTGCAACATGAAATACTTTGATGCAACATACGTCGAATGAAACATTTGAAACATACTGTTGCAATGTAAGTGTGAAACATATGCAACATAAACAAAAAAAACTCTTGTATCATGTGTGTGAAACATATGCAACATCCATATAAAACACTTGCTGCAACATACGTCTGAACAGATGAAAACTTTTTTCAAAACACTTGCAACATGGCACTAAAAACACTTGCAAAAATATGCAACATGTGCAACATCTCGATCTATTTTTGCAACATCCATATATAACAATTGCAACGTACCTATGAAACTAAAACATTTGAAACATACATTTGCAACATAGGGGAGAGAAAGGCCGCGGCCGATCGATTCTGGTCGTCAGGGTCCAACGACGAGCGGCGGCGTGCGAGCACCACCAGCACCGGCCACGCTCGTGGGTGCCCTTGGCTTAGCCGGAGAAGACCTGAGGCGCCATGGCACGTACGCCCGAGCGGCCATGGCAGGGTCAGCAGCGCAGGTGACTGGGATGCAGGTGAGCGGCGCAGGGAGTGAGGGCGCGCGCGCGGCCAACGATGGGGGAAGGCACGACACGACAGCCCAACGAGCACGCGGTGGGGGAAGGGGTGGATGAATGAGTGGCCCCGCTGCTTCGGATGCTGGGTGGATAAGCATATGAGGGAGTGACGATTTTTTTTTTTGAGAGAGATGGGGCTACTCCTGCAGAACCGCATCTAGACGAGAGTCACGGACATAATGTCTGTGTTGGATCATTAGCGTTTATACATGTGTTGTGTGCTTGCTTCAGCATGGAAAACGCAAACTGACATGTGTTTTGTCAAAAAAAAAGGAAAAAAAGAGGACATGCCATTTCAAAAATGAAGAAAATGCAAAAAGAATGGGAATTTACTGATGAGTTACTAAAAGAGGACTGATCACAACGAAGTCACTGGAATATTAAAAGGGATCCAAACCACACCAAAATGAAATCAAATCTAAATATCAAATAGTTAAAAAAAACAGCCAGCCAGCCCGGTGCGTGCACACACACGAGATTCGGGTTTGAGCCCGTTAATTTGGGCAAGATCGGACTGGGTCTGGGCATTGTTCGCTAATTGATCGACCTAGCCTGATCAGCCTAGCCCAAGTCCGGTTCAAAGTAAAGCCACCGGCATCCCCAGCGTCCCGAGTCGCTCACTCACTCACTCCGTAGTCCTCCCTCCCTCACTCCATCCCCCACGCTCCCATGCCTAGGGTTTCCGCCGCGCGGGTCACCGCCGGTGTTAGCTCCGGTTCTCCGTTCCTTCCCCGGCGCCGTCGAAACCTCCCACACTCTGGACTCCACTTCGTCCCCGCCGAGCCCTCCCTCTCTCTCCTCACTCCTCTCCACAGCACTGCCTTTCTCCACCGCAAGAAAAAGGCGAAAAATCCTACGCAAATCCGCCATCCTCTCCACCGCCGAAGCTTCTTGGTCCTCCTCGCCGCCGCTACGCGTTAGATCGGCTCGCCGTGTTCGGTAAGCAGCCCAAAGATCCCTGCTTTTTTTCCCGAGTCTTCTTGTCCCCCGTCCTTGGTTTCGTTGTACCATTTTCTTCGAGGCCGTGGGGGGAAAATGTTGTGGCCGGTGGCCGCGCCCGCGGTTCCTTGGTCCGTCCCTGTTTTCCGGGTAGCTGCGGAATTGGCGCTTGCTCGGTCGGCATAGCACGGCGCGGTTGAAGCGGTTAGGCCTTTAGCCTTTACCCCGTAGGTGGTTTCTCTATGACCCGCCTTGCGGATCCGACGCCGCCGTCGTCCCCCCCCACCCCCACCCCCACTGGATCTGACACCCACGTGCTCCTATTGCAGCTGAGGCCTCCCGGCGCCAACGGATCCGCCTGTTAGTTCACCGGATTCGGCAGCCTTCTCGCCGGATCCGACACACTGGCAGCGTCGTCCGCTTCGTCCTGCTCCTCTCCTGAAGGCAGGCACTGCATCCGCCGTTCAAAACACGCGAGGACTTCTGGCAAGGCAAGTCCCCTTGTATTACGACCTAACTCCCCTGTTTGTCACTCTTACAATTGCTGCAAATTTGCTTGTATGCTGCAATCATCATACCATACAATTTCGAAATGCCAACAGATGTCCACTGACCGTGCTAACTGGGATGAAGCCACCTTGAGGATCTTTCTCGAATTAGTCATAGAACAGAAAAACCTCTTGCACTAGAGCCAACGAGGCCTCACGACCGTCGGGTGGAACAATCTTTACCCACAAATCGAAAACAGAACAAAGTTGGGTTATGACAAGAAGCAGCTTCAGAACAAGTTGAGTGACCTAAAGCGGTCATATTTCGCTTGGCGTGACCTTCAAACCCACACTGGCCTGGGCCGTGACCCGATCACAGGAGGCGTCGCAGTTGACCCCTCATTTTTTGAGGATGGCAACGGTGTACTTCCTTCGACCTTTTTCTTTCTAACCCACTGACTACCAATTACTACGGACGCTCCTATTCTATTCGGCCTAACTTGTGGAACCATGGCACGTGTGCAGGAAACTAGCCAATCGGCTGCGCAGCGGACCAAAGTTCCCAAATACCTTGACCTACTAGTCACTCTTTGGGGACGCACCCCCCGTGAAAGGGGCACCCTGCTCGCTGCTGGTGGCCATCAACGCGAGAGGACACCAAGTACTCCTACCAATGCAAGTCCACACGACATGTCCCAGGAACCTGTAGGTACACACAGTGTCGGCCAGTCCTCCAAACGAACCCATAGAGAACATTCCATCAGCAGCCCCCAAGAAGAAAACTATTTCCATTGAAGAGTGCCTTGAAGACCTAACCCAGTTCATTAAGAACCAGCAGCAGCAGAAGGCGGGGTCAAGCAAGCACGAGGAGGAGATGGCCAAAGTGAAGCAACTTATGAAACAAGATGGGATCGCCGAGTCTGATCCTGCGTTTGCTCATGCGTTAGTTGTGTTCAAGAACACAATTGACCGTAGGAACTTTCTGGCCATGGAAACCAAAGAGGGCCGCATGAACTTGATTGAGGCCTGCTGGGAGGTTCTGAGAGCTAGATCCAAGTAGTCGTTATCCCAACGAACGTTCCTACTGCGCCAGTCTATGTAGTTTTATGTTCGAATTGTGCATGTTGAGGATGTATGTTTGCCCTATGTTCGTTTCATTTTATATTGTAATTGTAATGTTCCCTGGACATTGCTTGCTTAGTTGCATCGATGTGTTGTGGCCTGAACTTTGTGTACTCGTTTTTTTCGCTAATCAAATAAATTGTGTACTGTGATGTACATGCGTTGGTTGTAGGTTCACCTACAACTTGTAACAAGACAAGACTCTATTAATTGAAGTTTTATGCCCCTTCCTAGCCTGTCTTCGCGCAGCTACTACCAAGAGCCTGCGGAAGGCACCGAAGATTATATGGCCCCTGAGGTGCGAGGCACCTGGTTGGACAAGAAAGACAAAGATGAGATATTAGTAACCTCCCTGGTTGTGTGCTCCAAGCGCCTCATCGCTGCCATAGTTGCTATTAGGTCTTTCAGTATAATTGCTCTGTGCCGACCAGGGGCTGCTGCATGGTCAGTGAGAGTACATGAGGTGTGCAGGTTGTTCTCAGATATGGTCATCTTGCAAGGGAAGATCTACGCTCTTGACCGCACCGCCATGCCTGGGTATCTTGTTGCTATAGACATTGTGGATGAGTATGACATTGAGCCAAGGGTGTCTCGGATTGAGTGCCTCATCAAGGGAATCTCATTTCCACGCCAAGAAGAGTTCTTCTGGGTGCCTTATCTCCTTGAATTCCATGGCACACTGCTAATGGTCTGCAAAAAACTTTCCTATAAAATAGAGCACGAATCTGGAAATTTCTCTATCATTTTTGTGGCTGCTGGTAGTGGGTTTGTAGTGTTCGAAGCTAATCTTAAGCGGCACTTGTGGGCTGAGATGAAGACTTTGGAGAATGACCAAGCATTGTTCCTTGGGCGAGGATGCTCCAGAGCTGTCCATGTGTCCCCCTACGATCTTTCACGGGACTGTATCTTCTTCCTGGATGATTTCACTGGGTATTGGAAGAAAACAACTACAGCTTGTGAACTGTATGACATGAAAGATGAGAAGATCTATTCACCCTTGCCTATGGTATCACGGAAGAGTGGAAACGTTCCTGCAATCTGGATATTCTCACAGGGTAAGCGTGATTGCACTTCTTTTTCTGTGGGTTTTAAAAAGAGGTAAAAAACTACTTCGATGTTCTCCTATCAAAATCAAATTATTTCTCCTCAACTGTCAATAGCTGTATACTTTGTTACCCACATGTTTCAATGTTCACTAGATAACCTGAGTTATAAATCATGTAGAGTGCCAAAATGATGCCATCATACAGTTACGAACATGGTAATAAAATATCCTTACATTGGGAATCCAATGAGCTGGCATAGATGTGCAATTAAACACAAGCACAATACTCATGTCCGAAGTTTTTTTTACATGGAAGCTAAAAAAAGGTGGAACCTACCTCTCGAGGGATTCTTATATGAGACTTATATTCTGAGGTTGCGACAATCATGTGAAAAACGAAGTGCTCTTTTGTTTTCTAGATGAATGTGACAGGATATGCTAGTGAAATGTGTTTCTTCTTCGAGACATCTCTCACATTGCAGGATGATAGATCACAGATGCAATCCTAACAAATTATGACTTGGAAAATAACATTAAACAACTATGTTAGAGGTGGCTTAGATCATATTGTTTCACATAGGTTTCATTCATGAAAAGCTACCTGGTCGTTTGAACGCATCTGTGATGGTTTTTTCCAAATGCAGGTGAGATAGATAAAGCTGCAAACAGCAGGAGAGGTGGAATGTGAGGAGGCGGAAACTCCGATGCTTATATGTGGAGGGACTTGTTCTGCTGACCCACTGAGCAGGGCTACTAGAAAAGGGTTACAGAAATCTTCATGTAGCCATGTGTTCCTAAACATGCACAAATTGCTCCGATGTCATTCACATGTGTTTGAATTGGATGTTACTAGCATTAAAAAAAATGACCAGCCTGGTGCATGATACTGTTATTGTTTTTATTTTTATGTGCATGGTATTGCTTCAAACACCCGTTCTAATTAGAAATGTTGTCTACTTTGGCCTTTGGTTAGTGACTGCTTGAACCGTGGTTTCTAATATAGTGCTTTTGGTTATAAGCTTGTCTCAATTTCTGAATCCTGATTTGATTTGTTTGCTTCGGACTTGCTGCTTGATCTTTTGTAGGATGATCATGTACGAAGTTGGCATTGACATTGGCTCGCTGTTTTCCTTTTGGGTTTGTCTCTGTGTGGAACTGCTGGAAGGAATTCAGTCGAGTCACACGCACCTATCTGGTGATCTGTAGGTAAAAATCACAACTGGTTATGTATCATATATATGTGATGTGTATTTGACCATTACAATCGAAGGTGCGCAATAATTTATGCATCAGAGTTTGTCAAATGTTGCCAACACTGCTGATTCAAGTGAGAAGTGACACAGCTAGCAACCCTTAGCCAGTGGCACTTGAAGCAAGTACTTTTATTCAGGCTGAAGAAGCGATGTATCTAGACTGCTGGGTTGCTGCTTCTTTGCTAGTGCCAAATGCAGTAGCACGCATGGCAAATTGGCAATGCACGACGTTAGTATTAGGAGGTGATCTTCTGCTACTGAAGTGAGATTTTGATGCAGGTAATGCTGTTTGTTCAGAAATATACTATATATATAATCCAGTGTGCTACCGGTAGTACAGCTGCTGCTTTCTTTTTATTTCAGAGTTTGTGTATGCATGCCCCGTATGGATGGAGTCCATAAAAATTCATACACAACCTTTTAAAAAAAAAATCTGCCTTAGTTTAGTGCTTCTTACGAGTTGGAACCATTCAGAGTAGCCAGAAAATTCTGACTAATTTGAATCTATAACAATTCCTTGAATTTCGAAAAAGATCTCTGGAAACCACTAAGAAAAAGAAATATTCTTAAATCTGGGGTTTGTAGCGCTTGCCCTGTCCTTGCCTTATTATAGAGTTATAAAACCACCTTTGAAACCACTAAAGGGCTCTTGTTTGATTTCTATTGTTTGCTAGTAAAAAGTATCTGATTTTTTAGTTTAATGACTAAAATCAGATTCGCACGATAGGTCAATGGTCATAACTAGACTTCATACTTTACGAAACCAATAACATTTTCATATGATCTATACAGCTATATATGATAATTGTACCTATTGATGAGCAATATTTTTTTTTTGCTAATTTTCGATTCGGTTAATTATTTTGGAAAAAATATCGGTAACGCTCTCCTCAAGGCAGCGTCCGTCCGCCCAGATGCTCATGTTCATGGGCCACGATGCAAGCCCAAACGATCCTCTCCTATCCACTCGTCCAACTCTCTAGACACCGCAGTTTCTCCAAGAAAAAAATACCACCGCAACGGAGCTCGCCCAACGCACAGCTCGCCGTGCTCCACCCGCGTAGCTCGCGGCAACTGGCCAGGGCAGAGGCCGCCCGCGCACTTCTTGTGCTTCGGCACCCCGACTCGCCGTGGCCGGAGGTGGAGTTTGCCGGCGTGCAGCTCATGGTAGCCCGAGAGGAGCCTGCCCACGCACATCTCACGCTCTGCTTGCCCAGTTTGCCGTGGCCAGGGTGGATCTCGCCCGCGCGCAACTCACGACGGCCGGGATCAAACTCGCCCATGCATAGCTCGCAGCGGAGCTTACCCCGCGCACAGCTCACGCTCCACCCGCACAGTGTGGAGACCCGCCGTGACCTTCTCCACCGGAGCGACAATCTCCGAACTCCACATGCTGATGAGCATCCATTCTCCCAAACAGCAAGGAGATGTTTGCGCTGAAACGGCATGTTGCAAGACGTCTGTTTCAAGTGTTTTCAAATGTTTCATAGGTATGTTGCATGTGTTTTATATCGATGTTGTAAAAGTAGATCAGGATGTTGCACATGTTGCAATGGTGTTTCAAGTGTATGTTCCAAATGTTTCATTTGTTTTTAGATGGATGTTGCAAGTGTCTTATCTGGATGTTACAAAGTAGATCTGGATGTTGCATATACATGCATGTTGCAATCATATGCTTCGAGTGTTTCATACGTATGTTGCAAGTGTTTTATTTGAATATTGCATATGTTTTGCAATGGCTACACACATGTGTTTCCTGGTGTTTCAGACCTATATTGCAAGTGTTTTAATTGTTTTCGAACGTATGTTTTAAGAAATTCATCTAGATATTACAAAAATAAATCTGGTGTTGCATATGTTGCAGTGAGAGTGGAGGGGCCCGCCTGCTACAGATGCTGGGCCCGCGTGCATGCGCGTGGGAGTGGAGGGGGCACAAGCGATAGGCGTGGAAAACGGAGTTGGGCGCAGATCGAGACGCGGACCCTGCGTGGGCGTGGGAAACGAGCGGTGCAGGCCCCATAGCGTCTCAGAACGGACGTCCGCACGCTAGCAAGTCCGGAAACACATAGAAAGTGAAAAATAAATAAAAAACACAGGCAATTGTGGGCTTCATTTATGGCCCACTCACCCAGCCCTATTGGTGTCCATTTCATCAGGTCTGAAGACTCTCTGAACGCACGTAGGCTCCTCCGCTCCGAATCGCCATCGTCACAGTCCACGCTCCACAGCACAGGCCACGGCGGCGCCCGGCCGACGACGCGTCCAAGGTATCTTCCCTGTACCCTGTCTGCCCTCTTCTTTCCTCTCTTCCCCTTGAAGTCTTGAACTCTGTCCGTGCCTTCGCTTACTCATGCGTCGCCCCGCGAGGTCGCAATGGCTCTGATGTTTTCCGTAACCGTCCCCTTCCGCATGTTCTTGATTCCCTTATCGATTCTGTCACCTAGATCTGCCTCCAGCCCACCGACGGCCGTAGCCACCAGCCCGCCGGCGGCCGTAGCCCCTCCGGCGCGTGGCCCTAGCCCTGCGGGTGGTCCTTCGGGCGTGGCCTTAGGCCCGCCGCCGGCCATCCGGGCGTGGCCCTAGGGCGGCCACCGGCCGGCCAGGAACATCCCCAGGCGGCTGACTGCCCCTGGTCTCCCTCCCGTCCAGCGCACGTCCCGGTGCGACGCCCCTCGTCTCTCCATCGATCTCCACCGCCCCTATTTTCAGTTGAAGTCTGCTTCCCTCAAGATTTGGCCACCGGTGTTGTCTCCGTCAAATCTGAATCGAGTTTTCAGGTTCCTTGTTTCTCCCCTGAAAATGTATATATTATACTTCCTTTCTCTATGTGTGGCTATATGTATACAGAAGTAAAGCATGGTTCTGATGTACTGCAGTGGAGATTTTGGGCTAAGCAAGGACTGAAGGTTGCTATTGGAGGTACTGTTTACTTTCAAGATAGTGAAGAATTGTTCAGGACCTGTGATTGAGACTCAAAGGTATACTTCTTTCTTCACTGGATTTATTTGTTGTATGTTGTTATTCTACATTTTATTTGTGTGCTCACTTGTCGAGTTTGGAATGTTTGTCCTTGCACCAAAAATAATTGAGCTTCCTTTGTTGTGATATCTAATATATTAATATGAGTACTCTATTAATATTTGAAACAGAACTAGTTAATATGTCAAACCGGACATGGATGTATAATGGTTGGCAACGTGGCAAAGCTCCCTCAAATGAATGGATTGATGGAACCACAGAATTCTTGAATAGTGCATTTTCAATTAGGAAGTATATATGTGTATTAAGAAGTTCTTTATTCTTTCCATGTACACCTGATTGTATTCCTTATACTACAAGCCTGATTGGCTATATAATAGAGGTCACCCCCTCATTAGGGGTGTGGTGTTTCCCAATCTTCTCTACAAAGACATAGGTCTGAGCTAGCAGATGTAGATATTTTGAGTTGGTAAAACAAAATTTAGTAGGATATGGGTCCACATGATGCTAAAACAGCCAAATCTTCAGTCAAATGAAGAATTTAACATGCAAATAATTCCAGAGGAGATAATAATAAAAGAAAAGAAAGGTATATATAAGATACTTACTGCCATGATAAATAGTGCACATTGCAATTTATCCACAAAAAAGAGAAACTTCAGCTTCACAGAACTTTTTATTTACTTTATCTAGAGGACAAATCATGCTACTTATCTACAGAAACAAGAGCAAGCAATTTTAGATAGATGATATATGGTGAAAGGGAAAAATCAAAAATCAGATTCTGAAATTCTCTCGACTCACCAACTAGAGTAACAAGCATCAGGGAGAAATAGCATAAGAAATATCCTCATACTCAATGTAATGAATCTTCTTCTTGCGCAAAATTGGTGAAAAAATGGATCTTATAAAGCGACTGAAAGGATCCTGCAAGCCTTCCATTTCATAATGACCAAATCGCCAATCCCGCAATATGAATGATCTCTGGATAGGCCGATCTAAACCCCCTGAAGAACAAAAGGCTCATTTTTCTTAGGTGGAGACAGCAACCACAGTTTATACCAACTAAAATTTCTATTTCAGTTAGGTTTTTTGTCTCTCTATATGCCCTTTGGTAATTATGTAACTCAACTGTATCAAAAAAAATTATGTAACTCAACTGAAGGAGTTGTAAGGAGTTGTGGTATGAATTCAATATACGAAAAACTAACATGGAGCGACACTCTCGACTCCAAGAAGCCTGAAGGCAGTAGCCATTGGCATATTTTACAATATGTCAATAGTTTTTGTTTATCCTACTTATCAAGTTGTTTTAAGAGAAACAAGCCATTACACATGAATAATGTCAATTTAATAATATAACAGAATGTTTCGGGAATAATCAGCACATACCTGCATACATCCGACCATGTTTATCTACTGCCCTGAAAAATGGGCGTGTTTTCTTCTGAAATGCTGCTTGTTGCAGCTCCCTCCAAGCACCCAGTCTGTCCTGTCTTGTAATTTTCCCAGTTTAACAACCTGAAGTTCAAGTGCATTTTGTTAAGATCATCAGAGAAACACCAAATGCTCATATGTATAAAAAAAAGAGTGAGAAATTAAATTATCACAAGTCTGCACAATTTATGCAAAACAAGGGACCCAAGAAACAAAATGCACAAACATTACAAATTTGTTTTATACTTTTGCGGACAATGTGTACACAGGATACTGTATAATAATTTGCTGAGATCAGGGATCACCTTAGAGAATAAATAGTATGAAGGCCTAGGTTTCCGTGTTAGGTTGTTAGCACGACCAACAGCTACAAGCCCAAACTTGGGACCATAGCCATCTGCCCATTCCCAATTATCTGACATCGTCCAGAATAGATAACCAAGCACAGGCACACCCTTCAAAACAATGTCTATCAGTGCTGGAAGTTACAGATACATGAAAGTAAGGAATGTTTCATTACAAATTAATTTAAGACCGGACCATAATGATTGCAGCATAAATGGCTAACAGGTGCTCCAGAATATATGGTCTCTGAATCAGATCAGTCTCGTCAGAAACTCCATTTTCAGTAATTATAAAAGGTATATTCAAGCTCTTGTATCGTTCATTAAACTGAATCAGGATACGAAACAGCCCATCAGGATAAACACCACGACCAGATTCACTGTACTCATCATTGTCCACGAGCTTTAGACCAGAGCCTGATATCACCTCCTGCATGAAAATGGAGTAATCAACTCTTGTTGTTTACATGTTCAGATCATTTATCTAAGCAGCTAGTATTTAATTTACCTGCCCATAGTAGTTGATGCCAATAAAATCCAATTTATCACATATGCTATCAATGTAAGGGAAAAGGGTCAATGAATTAGCCAGTGTGACAGCAGCAACATCAAATAGACCATAGGGCCGTGTAAACGATACATGATGAGCAACACCAACGATTGGCTTCCTTTTACTTTTGCTGTAAAACACCACCAAAGAGTTCAACTCAGAATTGTGGAAATTCATGAGAAATTGCATTTCAAGTAACATATTATATACCTTTCTGAATGTATGTTTTTTTTTTAACGCACTTTCTGAATGTATGTAGTCATAGGCTTCTGCATGTGCAATGGCCATCCAATGTAATGCTTGGTTATATACACCAGTCGGTAAAGCAGATGTTGCTACTTCAATTGCATTAGGGTCTCCACCAGGCCAAGCACCAGCACAATAGGCTTTTTGGCTATGCTGACATGGACAAATATTCTTACAACATGTAAGATTCTGCTCAGTTGTTATTTATTTGCTTTTGGTCTAGGATCTGAAGGCAGAGAAGCCTAATGAGATGGTTACAAATGGTGTTCTTTCAAGCCTTCAGAATTTCCTACGCAAGTGCCTCATAGCTATCCTCTCATATGGCCCAATGCCGAAGCACATTGCATTTATTATGGATGGTAATCGTCGATATGCTAAATTCAGAAGCATGCAACAAGGAGCTGGTCACAGGATGGGTTTCTCTGCTCTTATTGCAAGTCTGCTGTACTGCTATGAAATGGGTGTGAAGTACATCACTGTTTACGCATTCAGCATTGACAATTTTAAAAGGGACCCAAGTGAGGTGGAAACCTTGATGCAGTTAATGGAGGAAAAAATCAATGAACTATTAGAGAACCGAAGTGTAATCAACAAGATTAACTGTAAGATCAACTTTTGGGGCAACTTGGACTTGTTATGTGAGCCGGTGAGGTTGGCGGCTCAGAAGCTGATGGCGAGCACAGCTGGAAACACAGGGCTGGTCTTTTCTGTCTGCATGCCATACAACTCGACTTCTGAGATTGTCAATGCTGTCAGTGAAGTCTGTGCAGAAAGGAAGGAACTGTTGCAGAGTGAACATGCTGGCGACTGTAATGGCCACGCTGCAAATAACGGTGTGCATTCAGAGATTTCAGTGGCGGATTTGGATCGCCACATGTATAGCACTGGCTGCCCAGATCCTGATATCGTCATCCGAACTTCAGGCGAGACTCGACTGAGCAATTTCCTCTTGTGGCAAACAACGTTTAGTCACTTGCAGAATCCAGATCCTCTGTGGCCCGAGTTCTCTTTCAGGCACCTTGTTTGGGCTATATTACAGTATCAGAGAGCTTACCCTTACCTAGAGCAGAACAGAAAGCTGGCTAAGAAGCAGTTGTGAATGTGATTCCATGTTAATTTTAAGGAGATACCAGGAGGGTTTTGAACATTTCAAGTTGTACAAAACTTCCCCTTCCATTTTCCCAGAAATGGGAAATTCAACTGTTGCTGTGAAGCAATCATGACCGTCCGAAAAGAGTTGTCTGAACTGATCAGATGGGAGCTAGAACACAGTGCATGGTCCATTTTTCATAAATCTGTAATTAACCCTGACTTTACATTCTTCAGTTGCTTCTTGCAAGTATGAGCAAGAAGTTCTTTTGAAATAAAAATTGGACCATGGGTTCCCTTGTCATATGAGATATCGACAGTTCACGGAAATGGGAATTTTTCTAGGGTGCATTAATGAATGTGCTGAACATTTGGATCTTTATATGTATGCTATCTATTATGTTGTGATGAAATTACAGTATGGACAGTCCATATTTAATATGTTGTTGCTACTGTTCTGTTTCTATATAATTATTGTATTCAATTTGCTGCATGGTTAAGTTTTTTTTTTCTGTCGGTGGTCTGTTATTTTTCTGTGCGTTAACCGAGACCGACAGAAAAATAAAAAATTTCCTGTGAGTGTGCCTCTACGACTCTATCGGGACAGCATCGACATTTTTCTGTCGGGCTTTTCCTTTTTTCTGTGAGGATTAACGCACACAACATTTAAATTTAATCTCTGTGCGTGTAACACCCACAGAAAAATCATTTTTCTGTCGGGCTGTTCTTTTTTTCTATGAGGATTAACGCACACAACATTTAAATTTAATCTAGGCTAACGCAATTTTTCTGTGCGTGTAACACCCACAGAAAAATTATTTCTAACGGTGAACACACAGGACAATTGAATTTTTCTGTCGTTATATTTCCGTGGGTATTTTCTGACGGTATTCGTATTTTTCTGTGTATTTTCGCACACACAGAAAAAGGGAGATTCCATTAGTGTTTGGTGTTTTTATAATGCAGAGAGCACGCCAAATGGGTTGCAATTAACTAGGGAGCACCTGCAGCAGGAGCCTGTGGAGACTGGCAAAGAGGATCCTGGGATGCCTCTTCGTGGCGGGACTACTGGTTCATCTGCTGCCTCCACAACTTTGTGCTGAACATATAAGAACTAATAAATACGGTTTAAGACTTAAGGGAGTTAATTCTTCATTGACTGATATGTTCCAACACACAAAAAAGGCCTACCATCAGCTCGTCACATTCATCTCGCTCAGATGCACTTGGATACGATATCACTACTAGGACCTGTTGCTTGTTTTGCTAATCCGTATCGCCCAAATGCCCATTTGTGCCGGCTGCATAAACAGATGCTTCTGTAATTTGTGCTTGGATTTTGGATTCCAGAACTTTTCATTGCACATTGCGTCATGCAGCATGAGTCAGGCGGATTCATGCTGTGTTGGAGAAATTCATTCATCCAGGTTCGATTCCATTTCATTTGTTTTTCTTCTCTGTTTCATGTTTAGGCAGCTGCTGAGATGGTGTAGTGCTGCACATGTTTACTTATCTAGTGTTGTGATAATTAGTCTGATTGTGATCATCTAGATTTCTGGCCATTTATTTTACATACGCTGTGATTTTTTGTCTGGGAAACAATTTAGGTTCTAACTGTACATCTTATATGACCTGACAGCGCTATCGATTGTAGATCTTGTTAATGCCAAGCTTTGTCAAAATGTATTTTTTAGTGGTTGAAATGTAAGAATAAGAAGGTGTGGTTAATGTAGGCCATACCAGTCAGCAAAATAAATTTGAATTGATAGAGGGATTCATGATGAATATTCAAGAAGGTTTGGTTAGTGTAAGTTAGAAAAGTTATGAGTTTCTTCTCTGCTAGTGTTCTGGCATTGTCAATTGCCTAGTTATGAATATTGTAGGTTTCATATAGAGCTGTTAACGTGGACCTAAATGTTAAATGAAGAAAAAAATGCAAATGTGAGCAGTGTGCAGAATGAATATGAGCGGAACAGAAGGATTCAAGAATGCTCCATTAGAAAAGTTCCAAAGCTAATCTTTTTCTCTGGTAGGGTTCTGGCCTGGGTGGCAATCCTCAAGTTGGTTAGAAATATTACAAGTTTTATTTGGTAGAAGAGTTGTCAGTGCGGACCTAGAAGGTCAACGAAGAAAAGAAGATGCATGCATTTGTACCTAGCAGATAGCACGAACAATCTGTGACACCAATTTGAGATCTGGGCAGATAAAAATAAAACTGCATATGAGAGAGCATGAACAATGTGTGATGAATATCAATATGAGGAAGGAGAGGTGGCCAGATCTCCAGCTAGGCCACCCATTTTTTTTTTTTGAGCACGCATTGGTGTGTGCTATATACTACTAAACGATGGTATTTGTATATGATGTGTGCTTGCATGCTTTAAGAAAAAGGAATTTGCAATTTATGTGTCAATCAAATTTTATTACGCTTCTTTAGAACAAAGAAGACATGTATGGTGCGTTTGGATCCCTCTATTTTGGAGGAATTAGAATCTATTTTATAGACTAGACCATTTGGCTTGGATTTTGTCATTCTAGAACTTTTCAAGGTTTAGATATAAGTCTGCCTTGAATTTATGGGGAGAAATAGAAATAGAAATAGATTCCATCCATCCCCATTCTATATTTCAACCCTGCAATTTATACCATCCTCTTTGCCTCACTCACCTACAGAAATCTCCAACGTATGGCCAAAACAACATACGAGTACGTTCCAAATGTGATCATGTTAACTTAATTGATTTGTGTCTAAATTATGATTATTGGAATGGATTTCAATGACACAATTCCAAACGGGGCCACGGAGATTTTGGAGGATTGTGATCCTTTGGCAAATTTTCCTATATGTCTCTTTGGGAGGGACAAAGGATTAAACCTTAGATTTTTTTTTGGAGAAAACCTTAGAAATTTCTTTGGATTGCTATATGGAAACCAAAATAAATACTCTCAAGAATTCAGCCCAAAACTACGTTATCATCCTACTGCTTTCGCTCCGGACCCCATCCGACGGCTCAACAAGGCCCAGCGGCCTGGTGGCCCAACTTTTCTCCAAGCAGAGCAAGCACGACCGCACGAGGCATAGAAGTGTGTGTGTGTGTGTGCACGAGGGCGTACGGCGCACATTGGCGCGCTCCTCTCCCGTTCTCCCTAAACCCTAGCGCCTTGCGGCCGGGCGAGGGCCGGCGGACTCCGGCGAGCCGGCGAGGGCGCGTCGGCGCAAGAAGCGAGCCGCGGCGGGCAGCGGGCCGGCGTGCCGGCGTGCGCTGTGCGCCTGATCTCCTGTGTTTAGCTTAGGGGCGCGGGGCCGCGGGCAAGGCCGCATCACGCCGCAGCAAAGTTTCTTGATCGGTGTCGTCGTCTCGCGATTGCGGACATCCACTCCGCGAAGATAAACCGGAAAGGTTTGATATTTTCTTTGTTGGGTTAGGCACTGGCGTGCCTCCGTCCATGCCCACCATGTGTTTGTTTATATGAGGGCACACCTTTTTACCCGTTCTGATCGCCACCTGATGGTACGTTTCCTCGTATTCGCGCAGGATGTCGCAGAAGAACCAAAGATCACCGCCATGGTCCGACCTCACACCAGAGCTCCTCGGCATGGTGTTCCTCCGCCTCCCTAGTCGTCCAGATCGCGTCTTCTTTACTGCCGTCTGCCGCGCATGGCGCACCGCGGTGCAGCAGTGCCGCCCGCGGCTGCCGTCGCCAATGCCGTGGCTCGTACTTCCTGACGGCAGCGCCACCAGCTTCCCCTGCGGCAGCGAGACTTTTCACCTGCCGGATGGCGTTCGCTATCACAACTCTTGTGGCGAGTGGCTTCTCTTGTCGCAGGGTGACTGCAGCTGCTTCCTGATGAACCCCTTCACCAAGGCCACCATGCTAGTTCCTAAACTGTGTTCTTACACCACCTATTCTGACCCGGACACTATCCGCGACCCTAACTTTGAGAGGATGTGGACTAACCTCAAGGACATATCTGAGATATATGTTTTGAGTCTAGTGGTATGCTCGAAACGCCTCATTGCTGTGACAGTTAGTACTAAGGGCATTGGTGGACGTATAGGTACACTAGCATTGTGCCGACCAGGAGATGCTGCATGGTCCATGGGAACAAACGAACTCTGTCGGTGTCTCTCAGACATAGTCTTCTTCAGGGGGAAGCTCTATGCTATTGGCTTCAACAATGGGCCGCATGATCTTCGTGCCATTGAAATTGTGGAAGAGAATGGCAACGATGAGCCGAGGGTGTCTCGAATTGAGCGCATATTCATTGGAGCCCCCAGTCCCCGCATAGAGCGGGAGCTCTCTGCACTGGATACGCCCCCCATAGCATCCGGATGTTCCTACCTTGTTGAATCGTGTGGCAGACTGCTAATGATCCGCAGGAAAGTCTACTGCAGACAAGAGACACGGGGACGAAATAGTTTCATTCTTGTGGCGGGCAGCAGCAAGTTTGAAGTTTTTGAGGCAGACTTTGGGTGTATGTTGTGGACCGAGCTGAGGAGTTTGGGAGATGACCAAGCATTTTTCGTGGGGCGAGGATGCTCGAGAGCTTCTTGTGTGTCTCCATATGATCTATCATGCGATTCTATTTTCTTTGTGGATGATTACACTAGCCCGGTTTGGAAGAAAACAACTATATCTTGCGGTGTGTATGACATGAAAGACGGGAAGGTCTATTCAACCTTGCCTATGGTATCATGGATGAGTGGAGACATCCCAGCAACCTGGCTTTTCTGTGAAGGTATTGAGTTCATGTTTTTTTTTCTTGCACTAAAATAGTCTGCTATAGACGAAACAGGCCTAACGTTTCCTTATTTTGGGGGTGTCATCAAACACAGGAACTGCACACAAATACATGAAAGCAAAACATTTGTGAAACATCACATCCTTTTGCTCTTTTCTTTTATTTATTTATTTTACTTCGGCAGGGTGCAGGTATTCATTAAGTAGGGCTTCTAGTTTGAGTGTTGTATTATGTGTATAACCTTGTGAAATGGAAGTAGTTTTATGAAGATGGATGTGTTCTTGTGATTTCGTATACAAAGCCAAGTGCATGCGTGTTCGTATTTTTCCTAGAGACACGTTTCACACCTTGGAGGAGAGGATGAATCTTAGATTCAATTTGGTAAAACATTTGTAAACAATGAAAATAGGAGACAACATGGGACAGAAGGAACTGTGATTTTTATTTTATTTTTAAATGAAATTAAAATGGAGCTCTCATTGATTCAACAACTCATAATCCTTTTGGTGATTTTATAATGCAGAGAGCACGACAAATAGGTTGCAATTAACTGGAGAGCACCTGCAGGAGCCTGTGGAGACTGACAAAGAGGATTCTGGGACGTTTCTTCCTGGCGGGGCAGCTAGTTCATCCGCTGCTTTACAACTACGTGCTGAGCATAGAAGAACTAATAAATAGGGTTAAGAAGATTCTTCATGGGCTGATGTGTTCTTCCTACGTGAAAAGGCCTATCGTGAGTTCATCACATTCACATCGCTTCGATGCGCTTCGATACACTATCACTACTTGGACATGTTGCTTGTTTTGCTAGTCTGTATTGCCCAACTGTTCAGTTGTGCTGGCTGCACAGAATAGATGCTGTAATGGTGCTCGTGCCATTGGGTGTTTCTTCCTGAAGTCGATGAGGATTGACCTCTGATAACGATTACCCAAGTGATTTGTTAGGCAATGCCTATGCCCACTGCCGTCCCTCTGTTTCTGCATCCTGATGTATATGTGCGGTGTGTTTTGAACTCTATGAGAGCTTGCTTCATCCTCCTAATTTTTTACAATTTGATCTTTTTTCGAAGAAAATTTACGTTTGGCCCCTGGAAGATTTAAACTCATCTTTGGAACCTGGGGTCGGCGCCAGGACTCATGGCGCCGAGGTAACACGTCTCGGCGCCACAGATCTTGGCGCCGAAGTGCCTGGCCGAAATCCTAGGTGGCGTTGACGTGGCCGGTACGCCATAGATCTTGGTGCCGATTTCGGCGCCACGAACTCTGGTGCCGAGCTGGCCCATGCTGCTTTTGCGCAGGCGGCCAATGTGGCTTGTCGCCTCCGCCTCCGCGCTGCCGTTGTGATCGGCTACAGAGAAAAGACTGCTGCTGCAGCCTTTTTCTCATCTCTCAAATCACTGGAGTGCATCCGTGCATGGCTACAGAAAAAAGATTGCTTCTGCTTGTGATGGCTGGTTTGGTGTCAACAAAAGTTTTCAAATGTGGGGCCCATGTGCCACTTATTTTTTAGTATGAAAATATAGTCAATATGGGTCTTATTTTATAGACTTAATTACAAGGAATATTCTAGTGCAAATAAATTATAGAAACAATACACTGTTTAGAAGCTATGGCCAATCAAAATTTCATAAATCAGACGGCACAGGGACGGAAGAAGCGGAGCGCGGCGGTGCCAGAGCCAGACGGCAGGCCGCAGGCGCGCCTCTCGCGTGTCTTTGGGCGCCGCGGTTACCGAGGACCAGCCATCACAAGCAGCAATAGTCTTTTTTCTGTAGCCATGCACTGATGCACTCCAGTAATTTGAGAGATGATAAAAAGGCTGCAGCAGCAGTCTTTTCTCTGTAGCCGATCACAGCGGCAGCGCGGAGGCGGAGGCGACAACAGTGGCCGCCTACGCAAAAGCAGCATGGGCCAGCTCGGCGCCAGAGTTCGTGGCGCCAAGATCTGTGGCGCCGACCTCGGCGCCATGTATTATGGCGTCGAGGTACCGGCCACGTTAACACCACCTAGGATTTCGGCCAGGCACTTCGGCGTCAAGATCTGTGGCGCCGAGACGTGTTACATCGGCGTCATGAGTCCTAGCGCCGACCTCAGGGTCCAAAGATGAGTTTAAGTCTCCTAGGGAGCCAAACGTAAATTTTCTTCGGAAAAAGGGTTAAATTGTAAAAAAAATCATCCTTCTCTGTATATAAGGATCATCTTGTTTTAAAGTATTTTCTAAGTTTCAGCAGTACTAGAGGAATAATTCGATTTCAGGCTATATGACCAATTTCTCTTAACTATCACGGTCACCTGATTTTCCTCTTTGATCTACAAAACTAGTTTATTAAAACCCGCCCCCCCCTCAAGTTTTAAAAAGACACTTTTGCACCCTCAGCAGTTTTGAGGGTGGTTTTGATGATGTGTGGGCAGGGGACTAGATGTGGCACCACGTCAAATCGGATTAAGTTGAAATCATAGTAAGTTGGAGGTTTAAGGAGGTCGAATTAAAATATTTTTAAAATATATGATCGTGCATTTTTAGAAAACGGTGTGTGTGCTTGTAGTTTCACTGTTACGTTTGTTTTTTCATTTATTATTACTGGTGTGTGCTATATAATGATGGTATTTGTATATGATGTGTGCTTGCATGCTTAAGAAAAAGGAATTTGCAATTTATGTGTCAAACAAATTATATTAGGCTTCTTTAGAACAAAGAAAACATGTCTAGCGTGTTTGGATCCCTTTATTTTGGAGAAATTAGAATCTATTTTATAGATGAGTCTATTTGGCTTGATTTTGGCATTCTAGAACTTTTAAAAGTTTAGAGATAAGCGGCGCTGCTAGCGCCCGAACGTCCAGACGAACACCCGCGGCTGCATTCCATTTTCGCGCATCCACGCCATACGCGTCCACGCGTGGGCCAGCGTTGTTCGGATGTCACTCACCCACACTTGCATCTCGCGCACCCACGGGAGGCCGCGCCGCCGGAACGTCACCTGCGCCGCGCATCGGTGGGGACCGCTCGCGCCCCTCCCGCTTCATCTCATATGAAACACCCGATCTACTATTGAAATATCCATATGCAACACTTGCAACATATAAAAAGACAGATAAAACATTTGAAATGTGCGCTTGAAACACTTGCAAAAACACTTACGCAACATCCAGATAAAAACACTTGCAACACATATGTGAAACATATGCAACATCCAAATAAACACACTTGCAACATACGTCTAAAAAACAGATGAAACATTAGGGACAAACGCTTGCAACATATGCAACATCCCGATCTAGTTTTGCAATGTCCATATGAAACAATTGCAACATACCTCTAAAACATTTGAAATGTGCGCTTGCAACATGCATTGTATCATGGTGCGGCATCCTCCGCCGTCTGCATCGGGGCACCGCAACCGTAGCAGGAAGCGAGGCCAGAGGGCTTCTGCGGCAGGGCCCGGTGCTTCTCCTTGAGCTGGCAGCGGCTGTCGACGTCGTTGGGCGGGGCGGGGCGGGCAGAGCAGGACCAGTGGGACGGGCGGCGGAGCAACGCGGAGTAGGTGCAGGAGCAGCAACGGCAAAGCAGAAGCAAGACCAAGCGGGGTGAGCGGTAGGAGCAACGAAAGGGACGTGGGGCACGGAGCAGAGCGGGATGGGTCCGGGTGCGACGCCGCCACGCTGGAGAAGGCTGCGGCAAGCGGACCCCGCAATGGAGGCTCCCGCGGTAGTTGCAGGCGTGTGGCATGATGGAGGAGCTCGCGGTGGTCGCATGCGAGCGACGGTGGGGGAAGGATCGCATGCGTGCGGCTATGGGGATAGAAAATGTCGCTGGCCTTTTTTTTTCTTTTTGGAGAAATCGTGCTAAAGGTGGAGCAGAGCAGGCCTATTGGGCCTGATCACTACACAGGCCTATTGGAGCGAGCAGGCGTCCGACACATGCGCTTGGACGGACTTCCTCACAAGAGCATTAACTATAAGACTGTCTTGAACTTATCGAGCGGGGGATAGAAATAGATTCCTTCCATCCGCATTCTATATTTCAGCTATGCACACTCACGTAGGCCCTATTTGCGTGTCCTTAAACCCGACTTGATCCGCTTCTTTTTTCATCCGGAACAGTATTTTTCTCTCATAAATTCCTCCAGATTCATCCAAAACAATTCAGATTCCTCCAAATTCCTCCGAGCAAACGGGGCCGTACAACAAAAATTTAGCATATAAGTACGTTCCACGTGCAACCATGTTAACTTAATTGACCTGTGCCTATATTGTGATTCTTGGAATGGATTTCAGTTCCAAGTATCCAATCGAGGGCTGCAGGAATTTTGGAGGATTGTGATCCTATGAAAAAAAATCATATATGTCTCTTTGGGACAAAGGATTAAATAAACCATTTACACAAAAAAAAAGATTAAATAAACCCTAGAAATTCCTTTGGATACCATGTCACGAATTTCAGTCCAAAACTACGGGGAGCTTGGATCTACCGTAGAGCTAGCAGCTGCTCTGGAGCTATGTTTTTATAGCTGAAGCTCTGCTAAACAGGCCCTTAATTGATGTATGTCTAAATTATGATTAATGGAATGGATTTCAATTCAAAGATTCAAACGGAGCCCAAGGATTTTGGAAGATTGTGATCCTATTGGAAAATTTTCTATATGTCTTTTTGAGACAAAGGATTAATAAACACTAGAAATTTCTTTGAATTACTATGGGAAACCAACATATAAACGGGAAACCAACATAAATACCCTGTCAAAAATTTAGCCCAAAACTACGTTATCGTACTGCTTTCGCTGCGGAACCGACCCGACGTCTCAACAAGGCCCAGCGAGCAGCGGCCCGGTGGCTCACGTTTTCTCCCTGCAGAGCAGGCACGACGGGCGCACGGCGCACATCGGCGCGTTCCTTCTGTATCCCGTTCTCACCAAACCCTAGCGCCTTGCGGCCGGGCGGCGGACTCCGGCGAGGCCGCGTCGGTGCGAGCTGCGACGCGCGGCGGGCAGCGGGCAGCGGGCCGGCGTGCGCTGTCCGCCTGGTCTCCTGTGCTTAGGGGCGCGGGGTCGCGGGCACGGCCGCATCACACCGCAGCAACGTTTCCTGATTGGTGTCGTCGTCTCACGGACATCCACTCCGCGAAGATAAACCGGAAAGGTTCGATATTTTCTCTGTTGTGGGTTAGACACTGGTGCGCTTCTATCCATGCCCACCATGTGTTTGTTTATATGCGGGCACACCATTTTACGCGCATTTCGATCCTCTTATTCGCGCAGGATGTCGAAGAAGAAGCAAAGATCACCGCCATGGTCCGACCTCACTCCAGAACTCCTCGCCCTGGTGTTCCTCTGCCTCCCTAGACGTTCAGATCGTGTCTTATTTACTGCTGTCTGCCGTGCATGGCGCTCTGCGGTTCAGCAGTGCCGCCTGCTGCCGTCGCCAGTGCCGTGGCTTGTACGTCCTGATGGCAGCGCCACCCGCTTCCCCTGCGGCAGCGAGACCTTCCACCTGCCGGATGGCGTTCGCTGTCACAACTCTTGTGGCGAGTGGCTTCTCTTGTCGCGGGATGACCGCTGCTGCTTCCTGATGAACCCCTTCACCAAGGCAACCATGCTACTTCCTAAACTGTTTACGTACACCACCTACCCTGACCCTTCGGAAACCATCCACAGGCTCTCTGGGTTGCTTTGCATTAACCGCAATTACATATCTGTTTTGAGTCTAGTGGTGTGCTCGAAACGCCTCATTGCTGTGATAGTTACTAAGGTCCTTGGTGGACGTACAGGTACACTAGCACTATGCCGACCAGGGGATTGTGCATGGTCCATGGGAACAAACGAACTCTCGGGGTGGCTCTCGGACATAGTTTTCTCAGGGGGGAAGCTCTAGCTCTATGCTATTGACGTCAACAATGGGCGGCAAGATCTTCTTGCCATTGAAATTGTGGATGAGAATGGCAAAGATGATCCGAGGGTGTCTCGAATTGAGCGCATATTCATTGGAGTCCCCATAACATCCCAATGTTCCTACCTTGTTGAATCACGTGGCAGACTGCTGATGATCCGCAGGAAAATCAACTGCAGACAAGAGAGAGTGTACTGTTGGGGAGGGAATAGTTTCATTCTTGTGGCAGGCAGCAGCAAGTTTGAAGTGTTTGAGGCAGACTTTGGGCGTATGTTGTGGACCGAACTGAGGAGTTTGGGAGATGACCAAGCATTGTTTGTGGGGCGAGGATGCTCGAGAGCTGTCTGTGTGTCTCCGTATGATCTGTCACGCGATTCCATTTTCTTTGTTGATGATTACATTAGCTCGGTTTGGAAGAAAACAACTACATCATGCGGTGTGTATGACATGAAAGACAAGAAGGTATATTCAACCTTGCCTATGGTATCATGGATGAGTGGAGACATCCCAGCAACCTGGCTTTTTTGTGAAGGTATTGATTTCATGCTTTTTTTCTCTTAACCTAAAGTAGTCTTCTGTAGAGGAAACAGACCTAAAATTTCCTTGTTTTGGGGTGCCATCGAACACATGAACCATACACAAATACATGAAAGCAAAACGTTGGTGAAACATCACCACCTTTTGCTCTTACCTTTAAAAAAATCAGCAGGGAGTTGGTATTCATTAAGTGGGGCTTCTGGTTTGAGGGTTGTATTATGTGTACAACCTTCAACCTTGTGAAATGGAAGTAGTTTTATCAAGATGGATGTGTTCTTGTGATTTCATATACGAAGCCAAGTGTATGTTCTTATTTCCTAGTGACATGTTTCACACCTTGGAGGAGAGGATGGATCTTAGATTCAATCTGGAAATCCAGGAGACAGCATGGGACAGAAGGAGCTGTGATTTTTATTTTAAAAAGATGAAATGAAAACGAAAATCTCACTGGATCCACAACTCATAATCATTTTGTTGTTTTTATAATGCAGAGAGCACGACAAATGGGTTGCAGATAACTGGGAAGCACCTGCAGGAGCCTGTGGAGACTGACAAAGAGGATCGTCGGATGCTTCTTCCTGGCGGAGCAGCTGGTTCATCTGCTGCTTCCACAACTACGTGCTGAGCACAGAAGAACTAATAAATAGGGTTAAGAAGATTCTTCATTGACTGATGTGTTCTTCCTAGGCAAAAAGGTCTATCGTCAGTTTATCACATTATCCTCGCTCAGATGTGCTTGGATACAATTGGCCCTGTTCGCTTCGCTGAAAAGCCAGGTTGAAAAGTACTGTTCGCTGATTTGTTGTGAGAGAAAAACACTGGACCTATTGCTTGTTTTGCTAGTCTGTATTGCTCAACTGTTCAATCCAACTTAAAAAAAACTGTTCAATTGTGCTGGCTGCACAAAACAGATGCTGTAATGTTGCTCTTCACACTGGGTGTTTTTTCTTAAGTTGATGAGGACCGAGCTCTGATAATGATTGGCCAAGTGATTTGTTAGGCAATGCTTATGCCCACTCCCGTCCCTCTGTTTGTGCATCCAGATGGCTTCTGATTCCTGATGTGTGTGTGCGCGCGCTGTGTGTTTTAAACTCTGGGAGAGCTTGCTTTCATCCTTCTCTATAAACTATAATATACTCCTGTATAGGATCATCTTGTTTAAAGTATTGCCTAAGATTCAGAAGTACTAGCACTAGAGGAAGAAGCCAAATTCAGTCCATCTGACCATCTCTCGGCAATCCATGCAACCGTGTCTTGGACTATGCACAATTTCTGAAGCGGAAATGCTCTTATACAGGCGTTCGGCCTGTTTCTTTCGTGTCGGATGCCGTTTTAACTGGACTACAATCTGTATAGCCTGCCAACGACCCAATAGTCTTCACCTTTCTCTCCCGCGCCGCTGCTCGTCTTCCTCACGTAGTTTCTCGTCTCCCTGACGATGACACGGCTGCTCGTCGCCCAGATGCGGCTGCTCATCTACTCGACGCCACTGACCGCCCATGCTCGTCCTTGTTCTTCCCTCGCCGCTGCACCCGCTCGCCTTCCTACCTTGTCTCCATGGTGGCAAAGTGGATCTAAGTGGGGCACCTCTATTGTGAGGTGTTTCTCGGCTATCAAATCCTCCATGGTCGGGTGTCTCTCGACAACGAACTACACGCCGGAGGTGTGGCCTCGCTGGTGACAAGCTCCTCCATGGTGTCTGGGCTCCTTCAAAAGCAAGCGCAACCGGATCTGCACTATACGGTGGGTTATGTTGTAGTATTTAATATGTTGCAACAGTCAGTCTTGGATGTTACATGTTTTATGGCACTCAGCATAAAATTGGATTTTACGGTGTTGCAACAGTCAATTTGAGATGTTGCAATAGTAGATTTGAGATGTTGCAACATGTTTTTTTGATGTTGCAATAGTCGTTTTAAGATGTTGCAACATTTCTTTTGGATGTTGCAAGTGCCGATTTAAGATGTTGCAACATGTTTTTTTTATGTTGCAACCGTCGATTTGAGATGTTACAACATGTTTTTTTTTAAGTTGCAACAGTCGATTTAAGATGTTGCAACATGTTTTTTTGATGTTATATGAGGTTTCAGTAAATTGCAAACCTTTTGTGTCTTGAATGTTACAAGCAATGATTAACATCTGATCCATTCTTTCCATCTCTCTCCCTCACGTACGACAAGGTGCGGTGTTCGCAAGCGCAACCACCATTACCGTGTTTTATTATTGCATCACAAGAGAAAGTAGGCAGGCAAGCAGCCTGAAGGGGCTGAGTGCTAGGGTGGGATGGGTAGAGCGAAAGTCTCTGGACCCGAAAGGGAAGAAACGCCGGAGTGGGACGGGTAGAGCGGAAGTACCGGGATCAATTGTTTATATCTAGATGTCCGGACGCTAGTACAATAGTATTTCCCTTTCTGAAGAGGAGAGTTGCTGCCTGAGGTACTCCTACTTAGGGATGAAAACTGATCGGATATGAACGGATATCACTGATATTACATTTGTTTTTATATTTTTCTCCGGATTCGGATACGGATAGTGTCAACCATGCCCGATAGGATATGATTGGATATCGACATCATAAATATGCGATTTGAGTATTCGGATACGGATACGGTATCGGATATTAAATATCCGAACTCGGATACGGACAGATCTAAACCCCTTAAAACGAATTCGGTCTCGAATACGATCGAAAAATATCCGTACCTTTTCACCCTATTCCTACTAGCCGGAACCCGGAAGCAGAAGCGAAAGCAATTTCTACATTGCGTTTACACGGCACGGGCTAGGAAAAGGCCGAGCTGAATGGTAATTTATTGGGCATGCAGCCCGTTTACTACCATTGGGCTCCATCTGGGCTTCTGCATTACAGCCCAACATGTCTGTTTCGGTAGCCCAAACATATTTTTCTGCTTAAAAAAAAAACTAGCCCAAACATAAGAACTGGAGTCCCCCGCAGTCTCCACACATCCGCAGCAGGGCAGCACCGGCGGGCGGCGGCCGACGAGTCACGAGTCCAAGGTATTTGCCTCGTATCCTCCATCTCCATGCCTTCACCTCCTAGGTCGGCGCCGTAGCAATGCTCTGCTGTTTCAGATGATGTTGCGTCGGGTTGTGTCCCTTCCGCACGCGCTATCACGCACACGGCACACGCCTTCACCTGTCTTTGATTCATTTGCGGATCGTGTCCGTGATTGTGCGCTCCCTATCTGTGAACAAGATGCACCCATGACACGCTTCCATTCGGTGCCCACCGGGTGTTCGTTTCTATGCCGACCCACCTCTCTCCTTGTTTCATTTTTTTTCTTAGAATTCCAGGAAGTCCGCTGTCCAATAGATTACATTACGGCCAGGACCAGATGGACATAGCTTTTACAGTTCCCAAATCTCTTTGCCAACAGGTTGGCTTCAACTTATAAGGAGCAACACTGCTCAGAAGAAGTGAATCCATTATTACTATGCCAGATACATATCGATAGGTTTTGTGCATGTCCACCAGCCATAGACTGCAGTTGCAGGTCATAGGTTGATTTGAATCTCCTCCTCCAGATCCTGTTTGCCTTCAGCTAGGTATCACTCATCCGTACCCTCTCCAGCCGTGCCGCCGGAGACTCCGCAGCACAGAGCAAACTGCAAATGGTGAGTAGGGCGTAGCAGTCAAGTCATAGTTCATCAGCAGTACCACTCATCTCGTGAACATCCACTCCGCGAAGATAAATCGGAAAGGTTTGATATTTCTTTGTTGGGTTAGACACTGGTGCGCTTCCATCCATGCCCACCATGTGTTTGTTTATATGCGGGCACACCATTTTACCTGTTCTGATCGCCACCTGATCGTGCATTTCGATCCTCTTATTTGCGCAGGATGTCGAAGAAGAAGCAAAGGTCGAAGAAGAAGCAAAGATCACCACCATGGTCTGACCTCACTCCAGAGCTCCTCGCCCTGGTGTTCCTCCGCCTCCCTAGGCGTGCAGACCGCGCCTTCTTTACTGCCGTCTGCCGCGCATGGTGCACCGCGGTGCAGCAGTGCCGCCTGCCTCCGTTGCCAGTGCCGTGGCTCGTACGTCCTGATTGGCAGCGCCACCTGCTTCCTGAGCGGTGGCGAGACCTTCCCCCTGCCGAATGGCGTTCGCTACCACAACTCTTGTGGCAAGTGGCTTCTCTTGTCACGGCATGATGGCAGCTGCTTCCTGATGAACCCCTTCACCAAGGCCACCATGCTACTTCCTAATCTGTGTTCTTACACCACCTACTCTGACCCTTCGGAAACCATCCATGACCATAGGAACTTTGAGAGGATGTGGATTAACCTCAAGGACATATCTGAGATATCTGTTTTGAGTCTAGTGGTGTGCTCGAAACGCCTCATTGCTGCGATAGTTACTAAGGTCCTTGATGGACGACGTACAAGTACACTAGCACTGTGCCGACCGGGAGATGTTGCATGGTCTGTGGGAACAAACAAAGTCTGCCAGTGGCTCTCAGACATAGTCTTCTTCAGGGGGAAGCTCTACGCTATTTGCGTCTACAACGGGCAGCAGGATCTTCGTGCCATTGAAATTGTGGATGAGAATGGCGACAATGAGCCGAGGGTGTCTCGAATTGAGTGCATATTTGTAGGAGTCCCCCTAACATCCCACTGTTCCTACCATGTTGAATTGGATGGCAGATTGCTGATGATCGGCAAGCAAATCATCAACTGCAGAGAAGAGTACTGTTGGGCAGGAAATAAAATCATTCTTGTGGCAGGCAGCAGCAAGTTTGAAGTGCTTGAGGCAGACTTTGGGTGTATGTTGTGGACTGTGGTGAGGAGTTTGGGAGATGACCTAGCATTGTTCGTGGGGCGAGGGTGCTCGAGAGCTGTCCGTGTGTCTCCATATGATCTATCACGTGATTCCATTTTCTTTGTGGATGATTACCCTTGCCCTAGCCCATATTGGAAAAAAACAACTACATCTTGCGGTGTGTATGACGTGAAAGACGGGAAGGTGTATTCAACCCTGCCTGTGATATCATGGATGAGTGGAGATGTCCCAGCAACTTGGCTTTTCTGTCAAAGTATTGAGTTCATGTTTTTTTGTTCTTGCACTAAAATAGTCTGTTGTACATGAAACAGGCCTAAAATTTCATTTTCTTTTGGGTGGGTGGGGGGGCATCAAACAGAGGAATCGCACACAAATACTGAAATACATTAAAACATTGGTGAAACATCACCTGATTTTGCTCTTTTTTTATTTTTAAACTTCATTAGGGACTGCAGGGTGCAGGTATTCATTAAGTAGGACCTCTGGTTTGAGTATTGTATTATGTGTAATGGAAGTAGTTTTAAACATTGAAATTAGGAGACAGCATGGGACAGAAGGAACTGTGATTTTTATTTTATTTTTTAAAATGAAACTCTCATTGGATCCACAACTCATAATCATTTTTGGTGTTTTTATAATGCAGAGAGCACGACAAATAGGTTGCAATTAAAGGGGGAGCAGCTGCAGGAGCCTGTGGAGACCGACAAAGATGATCCTGGGACGCTTCTTCCTGGAGGGACATCTGGTTCATCTGCTGCTTCCACAACTTCGTGCTGAGCATAGAAGAAATAATAAATAGGGTTAAGAAGATTCTTCATTGACTGATGTGTTCTTCCTAGGCAAAAAGGTCTATCGTCAGTTCATCACATTCACCTCACTCAGATGTGCTTGGATACAATACCACTATTAGGACCTGTTGCTTGTTTTGCTAGTCTGTATTGCCCAGCTGCCCATTTGTTCAGGCTGTGTAAAGCAGATGCTGTAATGGTGCTCTTCCCACTGGGTGTTTCTTTCTGAAGTTGATGAGGACCGACCTCTGTTAAGTGATTACCCAAGTGATTTGTTAGGCAATGTTTATATGCTCACTGCCGCCCCTCTGTTTCTGTATTCTGATGGCTTCTGATTCCTGATGTGTATGTGCGGTGTGTTTTAAACTCTGGGAGAGCTTGCTTCATCCTTCTCTGTAAATATATATAGGATCATGTTGTTTTAAGTCTGTATTGCACGGCACGGTATGGGACAGGCCGAGCTGAATGGTAATTTATTGGGCCTGCAGCCCATTTATTCTAATTGGGCTCCATATGGATAAAAATGCCTGGGCTTCTGCATCTCGTTTATTTACAGTCCAAATATAAGAACGGGTTCCCCACAGCCCGCAATGTTCAGTCTTGACACATCGTCCTGGACGCTCTCTTTCGCAGCAGGGCAGCACCGGCGGCGGCCGCAGCCGCCGCCGACACCAACGAGTTCAAGGTATTTGCCTTGTATCCTCCATCTCCCTGCCTTCACCTCCTATTCTCCTAGGTTCTCGCCGTAACAATGCTCTGCTGTTTCAGTGGTTGCGTCGGGTCATGTCCCTTCTGCACACGCTATCACGCACACGGCACACGCCTTCACCTGTCTTGATTCGTTTGCCGATCATTTCCGTGATTGTGCGCTCGCGATCTGTTAAGAAGACGCACCCATGAGACCGATAAGCACCGAAGGTGATCCATATGTTATAGGGTTCAGAATTCAGATGCGAAACAAATCACACGTTTCCATTCCGTGCCCTCCGGATGTTTGTTTCTATGCCGACACGCCTCTCTCTTTGTTTCATTCTTTTTTACAGAATTCCAGGAAGTCCCCTGTCCAGTAGATTACCGTCAGGACCAAATGGACATAGCTTCCAAAATCTCTTTGTCAACAGGTTCGCTTCAACCTTGAAGGAGCAACACTGATCAGAAGTAACTGAATCTATTACTGCTATGCCAGATAGATACCGATAGGCTTTGTTCATGTCCACCAGCCATAGATTGCAGGCCACTGGTTGATCTGCATCTCCTCCTCCAGATCCTGTTTGCCTTCAGCTAGGTATCACTCACCCGTACTGTCTCTAGTTGTGCCGCCAGATACTTCGCACCACACAGCAAACTGCAGATGGTGAGTAGGGCATAGCAGTCATAGTTCATGACTCATGAGCGAGTAGTACCACCATGGATCGCCACACTTGCTGCATACTGGGTTTCTGCGTTTCCATAGACCTAAATGTATTCAAGACTATTTTTCTTTTCGCAAAGCTGGAACCCAGCCACTGATACGAACCCATTCACAGTACCAGACTGAAGGATTTCAGACAAGGATAGCCATATATATTTGTTTATTCACGACACATTAAAATTAAAGAAAAGGTAGTGTATCGTCTCTCTATGGTTTTCTACTCCGTCTGATCATGCCTTTCTACCGTTTGCATTGCAGGATGGCGCAAGCCATAGGCTCCTCGGCCTGGTGTTCCTCCTCCTCCCCACGCGTGCCGACCGAGCCTTCTTTCCTGCCGTTTGCCGCGCGTGGTGCTCCGCGGTGCGCCAGTGCCGCCTGCCTCCACCGTCTCCAGTACCGTGGCTTATGCTTCCTGACGGCAGTGCCACCAGCTTCCCTCACCGTGAGACCTTCCAGCTGCCGGATGGCATGCGCTACCACAGCTCCTGTGGAGAGTGGCTTCTCTTGTCGCGCAATGATGGCAGCTGCTTGCTGATGAACCACCTCACCAAGGCCACCATGCCCCTTCCTAGCCTGTCTTCGTACAGCTACTACCAAGAACCTGTGGAAATCCCCGAAGATTATATCCCACGCTATTATCGGATACGGGGCAACAGTTGGTTGGACAACAAGGACATCAGTAACATATCTGTACGCTCCCTAGTTGTGTGCTCCACGCGCCTCGTTGCTGCCATAGTAGCGGTTGGGCCCCTCGGTGCAATTGCATTGTGCCGACCAGGTGCTACTGCATGGTCAGTGAGCGCTCAAGATGAGTGTTGGTGGCTCTCACGCATGGTCTTCTTCCAAGGAAAGCTCTATGCTCTTAACCGCATGGCTGGCCATAACGACGATCTTATTGCCATTGACATTGTGGATGAGCATGACAGCGATGAGCCAAGGGTGTCTCGGATTGAATGCGTCATTGAGGGAGCCTCCTTGCCATCACGTCTTGAACTTTCCACCATCCGCACCCACTACCTCATTGAATCCAATGGCACACTGTTAATGATCCGCAGAAGATTTTCCCACAAAAGCCAAGATTGGTCTGATGTGGTTTGTTGCAGCAAGTTCGAAGTGTTCGAGGCCGACATTGAGGAGCACTTGTGGGCTGAGGTGAGGACTTTGGGGACTAACCAAGCGTTGTTCCTTGGGCAAGGGAGCTCCAGTGCTGTCCACGTGTCTCCCTATGATCTTTCACGGAACTGTATCTTCTTCCTGGATGATTGTACGGTTGTACCAACTTGCTTATAGAGAAAACTACTAAACATTGTCGAGTATATGACATGAAAGATGAGAAGATCTATTCACCCTTGCCTATGGTATCATGGAAGAGTGAAAGAGTCCCCGCAACATGGATATTCTCACAGGGTAAGTTTGTTTGCACTGGGCTTTAGAAATAGATAAAAAAAATGCTTCAATGTTCTCCAAGCAAAATCAAATTATTTCTCCTCTACTGTCAATAGCTGTACTTTTTTTGGAAAAAATAATTGCTGTACTTTCTTACCCACAAGTTTCAATGTTCACTAGATAACTTGAGTTATAAATCATGTAGAGTGCACCAAAACTATGCTATCATACAGTTTTGAACAGGGTAAAACATATTCTTATATTGGATCCAATGAGCTGACATAGATGTGCAATAAAACATAGGCACTATACTCATATACGAAGCTTTTGTTACATGGAAGCTAAAAAAGGTGCAACTACTTACCTCTCGAGGGATTCTTATGAGACTTGTATTCTGTGGTTTCGCTAATCGTGTGAAAAACGAAGTACTCTTTTGTTATCTAGATAAATGTGACAGGATATGCTAGTGAAAATGGTTTTCTTCTTCGAGACATCTCTTTTACGTTGCAGGAGGATGGATCACAGATGCAATCCTAACAAATTGTGACCCTGAAAATAATGTTAAACGACTTTGTTAGAGGTGGCTTAGATCATATTGATTCACATAGGTTTCATTCATGAATAGTTACTTGGTCGTTTGAGCCACACCTTGTGCTTCTGTGATGGTTTTTCCAATGCAGGTGAGACATGTGAAGCTGCAAACAGCACGGGAGGATTTGCAGGAAATTGTGGAACCTGAGGAAGTGGAACCTCTGAATCTCTGATGCTTGTACGTTGAGGGACTTGTTCTACCGATGCCTCTACCACTCTACACTGAGACTGATGAGAGTTACTGAAAAAGAGTGATAGAAATCTTCACGTGGCCACACATGCACAAATGGATCCGATGTTCCTACACAATGATTTGGATGTCACTAGCTATTACCTGCATTAAAATAATGACTGACCTGTTGCCTGATACGGTGCTTGTTTTTATGTGCATGGTGTTTCTTCAAACACCCGTACAGTGCTAATTAGAAATGTCGTCTACGTTGGGTATGAGTGACTGCTTGAACCGTGGTATCTAATATAATGCTTTTGGTTCTGTGTTTGTCTCAGTTTCTGGGAGGTTGCAGCATGATCCTTGAAGGATGAATGGATGATGATTTATTTACAACTATAGTTTCTCGAAAATTTTAGGCCATTTGCATGTAACGACGGGGCTTGCCATATCGCTTTTTAATGCAGATATTTCCATCTTAATTTTCTGAGAGCGGTATATTTTTGCTAAATTTTGATGCGGATGATTGATTTTTTAAAAGGTGAAATGCAAAAAATCCACAAAAACAAAGGCACGTATGGGCCCATCAGTTCTGTAGGCTCCGTCGCTCAATTATGACCCAGCCCAGCCGAACAGGTCCATTTCATCCGTTCTGAACGCACGGTAGACTCCATCGAATTTTTTTTAATTTTAACACTTTTTTGAATCTAATTTTAAATCTAACACGGGTGGTTTTTTTTAAACTAATACTTTTGGCCGCGCCTATTGCCCTGGCGCGGCCAAATGTCTGTGTCACGCCATGCATGGTGGCGCGGCAACGGGCTGACGTGGCGACGACCGGAATCGCTGATCATGCAGTCAAGTGCGAATGTGGTGTTACATCCAACTACGGTCTAGTCCCTTCGGAACTTAGAATAGGTCATTATTGCGGCTATATGATTGACTATGATGAGGTTGATTTTTTGTGGTAACCATGGAATCGTATTTTGTTTCTTTTGCTAAGAGATATATGATATAATTTATCGTTTCAACAGAGCACTAGAAAATACAGGTGGGAATGTTACGATGGTCAAGCTAAGTTCTTGGATGAACTGAAGGGGAAGCAATTAATTGCACGGAAGAGGGGATATGGACCTAACTACGTCAACCTTTTCGTTAAACATCATAAAGAGAAGATGTGTGAGTTTGCTAGACAGCGCGGTATTTATAACCCGATCGACGTTGAGCTTGTCAAATGGGGATTGGAGAGACAGATGACATTAGAGGAGGAGAGGGCAAGGAAGGAGACAAGGGAGGAGATAAGAGTACAGATGCAGGTCTTGAACGAGCATGTTGTTTCATTATGTGCTAATGAGTGCTTGAAAGCATTTTTTTCGTTGCCTGATTTTATACGTAATATAATCGTGTTGCTAACTGATTGCATTTTATACATGAAGGGATTGGATGCAGTGAAGACCATGCTGCAGAGGTGACTCGTGTAAGGTACGAGGAAAAAAAGTTAGATGGACACATAAAGTGAGCTGGTCGCACCGTTGAATCACCGATTGTGTTGTCTGATGAGGGGGACGAGGATGAGGACGACACTGCCAGACTCAGCGAGCTCATCGCTCTAGCAGAGGTGGGCTTGCAGGTGGATGAGGTTGAGGACGACACTGCTAAACTGAGCAAGCTCATCGCTCTAGCAGAGGCGGGCTTACAGACGAAGGAGGCTAAGGATGACACTGCCAGACTGAGCGAGCTCATCGCTCTAGCAGAGGCGAGCTTGCAGACGGAGGAGGATGACGACGCGTTCTTCCCTCGGGCCGCAGAGGCCGCAGATGAAGCGGAGGCCGCTTACTACAGGCGAAAGACAGATCAGGGCAACAGGTGACCCTAGCCACAACAACAGGGTTGTGGTTGAGGATTGGTACTCGGACGACGAGTTGCTTACTCAGTATGTTTCTTATTAGGGTGCGGCACTGCTGCGCCAAGATCGGTGGCGCGGTAGGCCCCTGCCGCATCAGCGGTCAGTGATTCCGGTCGCCGCCACATCAGCCCGCTGCCGCGCCACCATGCATGGCGCAGCACAGGCATTTGACCACGCCCAAAAGTGTTAGTTTAAAAAAAACGACAGTGTTATGTTTAAAATTAGATTCAAAAAAGTGTTAAAATTAAAAAAAATCACTCCATCACTCCGAGAGTGCAAATCCCCATCGTCTCCGTCGATTCCTTCCCACCCATAGTCCACAGCGGCGGCGGGAGGCGAGCGATGGCGACGACGCGTCCAAGGTATTCGCCTTGTATCTTCTCTCCCTCACTTCCTCTCTTCTCCTTCATCTCTCTGCCTTCGCTTCCTCACCTGTCGACGTGCGAGGTCGCAACGGATCTGATGTTCCTTTACCTTTGTCCCATTCCGTATGGTCATGATTCCTTTGTCGATTGTTTCTTGTTTGCGGGCTTGAGATTTGTGAAGAAGAAGCATCCAGTGTGCTTGATAAGAATCAAATGTGATGGATCATTATTATTATAAGAGTTTTCCATAAATATTGACACACTACCATTCCATGTCCACCAGGTGTTTGTTTCTATGCCGACGTGTCTATGTCCTTGTTTTATGCTCCGTCTGATCATCCCTTTCACCTATTTACAGGATGGAAGAAGTGCAAGGCTCACCGGTACCGACATGGTCGGACCTCCCTTCGGAGCTCCTCGGCCTGGTGTTCCTCCACCTCCCCACACGTGCCGACCGGGCCTTCTTTCCCGCCATTTGCTGCACGTGGTGCTCCGCGGTGCGCCAGTGCCGCCTGCCCCCACCGTCGCCAATGCCATGGCTTCTGCGTCCTGACAGCAGCGCCACCAGCTTCCCTCACGGCGAGATCTTCCAGCTGCTGGACAGCATGTGCTACCACTGTTAAAACTATAGGATCATTAGGAATATAGATCTAGCCGGTCTACTTGTACTTGGATAAACCATGAACCCTAGAATATCTACCAGAGCAGTAACAGTAAGTAGAACGAGAGAAAAGAGGGTAGAAGATAGACATGTCAAACCTGACACCATAGAGGGAGTAGATCCAGAGGCCTCCATCTCTTTCGTTGAAGTCTGCGCACGGGCAACGACGGTCGGGGAAGACGGGTCGGAGATGCGGTGCCGGGGGTGAAGATCGATGGCGGCGCAGTGCAGTGGTGGAGGTACTTCCCGTCACTGGTTGCGCCCCTTACTTAGATCGGGTTTAGGGTTTTGTCGGTGGGGAGCTCGGCTCAGGCGAACCTCGTGACTTGAGCCGTCGACCCCACCTCTATTTATTGCGCAGTGTGACAGGGGTCCTCCAGCCATAGTGGGCTGGGCGCCCCCGATCAGGGCGCGGATCAAAGGCCCAACTGGGCCGTTGGGCCCAGTATAGAATTGAGATCAATCTAACAACCACAACTCTTGTGGCGAGTGGCTTCTCCTGTCGCGCAATGACGGCAGCTGCTTGCTGATGAACCACTTCACCAAGGCCACCATGCCCCTTCCTAGCCTGTCTTCGCGCCCCTACTACCAAGAGCCTGCGGAAGGCACCGAAGATTATATGGCCCCTCAGGTGCGAGGCACCTGGTTGGACAAGAAAGACAAAGATGAGATATTAGTAACCTCCCTGGTTGTGTGCTCCAAGCGCCTCATCGCTGCCATAGTTGCTATTAGGTCTTTCAGTACAATTGCTCTGTGCCGACCAGGGGCTGCTGCATGGTCAGTGAGAGTACATGAGGTATCCAGGTTGTTCTCAGATATGGTCATCTTGCAAGGGAAGATCTACGCTCTTGACCGCACCGCCATGCCTGGGTATCTTGTTGCTATAGACATTGTGGATGAGTATGACAGTGAGCCAAGGGTGTCTCGGATTGAGTGCCTCATCAAGGGAATCTCATTTCCACGCCAAGAAGAGTTCTTCTGGGTGCCTTATCTCCTTGAATTCCATGGCACACTGCTAATGTTCTGAAAAAAACTTTCCTATAAAATAGAGCACGAATCTGGAAATTTCTCTATCATTTTTGTGGCTGGTGGTAGTGGGTTTGTAGTGTTCGAAGCTAATCTTAAGCGGCACTTGTGGGCTGAGATGAAGACTTTGGGGAATGACCAAGCATTGTTCCTTGGGCGAGGGTGCTCCAGAGCTGTCCATGTGTCCCCCTACGATCTTTCACGGGACTGTATCTTCTTCCTGGATGATTTCACTGGGTATTGGAAGAAAACAACTACAGCTTGTGAACTGTATGACATGAAAGATGAGAAGATCTATTCACCCTTGCCTATGGTATCACGGAAGAGTGGAAACGTTCCTGCAATCTGGATATTCTCACAGGGTAAGTGTGATTGCACTTCTTTTTCTGTGGGTTTTAAAAAGAGGTAAAAAACTACTTCGATGTTCTCCTAGCAAAATCAAATTATTTCTCCTCAACTGTCAATAGCTGTATACTTTGTTACCCACATGTTTCAATGTTCACTAGATAACCTGAGTTATAAATCATGTAGAGTGCCAAAATGATGCCATCATACAGTTACGAACATGGTAATAAAATATCCTTACATTGGGAATCCAATGAGCTGGCATAGATGTGCAATTAAACACAAGCACAATACTCATGTCCGAAGTTTTTTTTACATGGAAGCTAAAAAAGGTGGAACCTACCTCTCGAGGGATTCTTATATGAGACTTATATTCTGAGGTTGCGACAATCATGTGAAAAACGAAGTGCTCTTTAGTTTTCTAGATGAATGTGACAGGATATGCTAGTGAAATGTGTTTCTTCTTCGAGACATCTCTCTCACATTGCAGGATGATAGATCACAGATGCAATCGTAACAAATTATGACTTGGAAAATAACATTAAACAACTATGTTAGAGGTGGCTTAGATCATATTGTTTCACATAGGTTTCATTCATGAAAAGCTACCTGGTCGTTTGAGCGCATCTGTGATGGTTTTTTCCAAATGCAGGTGAGATAGATAAAGCTGCAAACAGCAGGAGAGGTGGAATGTGAGGAGGCGGAAACTCCGATGCTTATATGTGGAGGGGCCAAAGGGCGCCTAGCTCAAACGGTTAGGTGACCCAGCGGCACTTCTCAGGTCCTGGGTTCGACTCCCCGTAGGAGCGGATTTCATGTTGAGGTTAAAAAAATCCCCTCGCCCATCCCCATGTGCCAAAGTGCAGTGAAAGGCCCCGGTCCGGTTCTCACAGGGTGACGGCACCTCCTGCGTCAGGATGGGGGCGGGGGTTCGGGGATTTTCTCGATCTGTGTGAGAAGATCATTCTTCTTAACGGAAAACCCGGGGCCGTCATAACCCCCGCAGGTCGAGTTTTTTTTTTATATGTGGAGGGACTTGTTCTGCTGACCCACTGAGCAGGGCTACTAGAAAAGGGTTACAGAAATCTTCATGTAGCCATGTGTTCCTAAACATGCACAAATTGCTCCGATGTCATTCACATGTGTTTGAATTGGAAGTTACTAGCTATTACCTGCATTAAAAAAATGACCAGCCTGGTCCATGATACTGTTATTGTTTTTATTTTTATGTGCATGGTATTGCTTCAAACACCCGTTCTAATTAGAAATGTTGTCTACTTTGGCCTTTGGTTAGTGACTGCTTGAACCGTGGTTTCTAATATAGTGCTTTTGGTTCTGAGCTTGTCTCAATTTCTGAATCCTGATTTGATTTGTTTGCTTCGGACTTGCTGCATGATCTTTTGTAGGATGATCATGTACGAAGTTGGCATTGACATTGGCTCGCTGTTTTCCTTTTGGGTTTGTCTCTGTGTGGAACTGCTGGAAGGAATTCAGTCGAGTCACACGCACCTATCTGGTGATCTGTAGGTTAAAATCACAACTGGTTATGTATCATATATATGTGATGTGTATTTGACCATTACAATCGAAGGTGTTCAATAATTTCTGCATCAGAGTTTGTCAAATGTTGCCAAAACTGCTGATTCAAGTGAGAAGTGACACAGCTAGCAACCCTTAGCCAGTGGCACTTGAAGCAAGTACTTTTATTCAGGCTGAAGAAGCGATGTATCTAGACTGCTGGGTTGCTGCTTCTTTGCTAGTGCCAAATGCAGTAGCACGCATGGCAAATTGGCAATGCACGACGTTAGTATTAGGAGGTGATCTTCTGCTACTGAAGTGAGATTTTGATGCAGGTAATGCTGTTTGTTCAGAAATATACTATATATAATCCAGTGTGCTACCGGTAGTACAGCTGCTGCTTTCTTTTTATTTCAGAGTTTGTGTATGCATGCCCCGTATGGATGGAGTCCATAAAAATTCATACACAACCTTTTTTTTTAAAAAAAAAATATATGCCTTAGTTTAGTGCTTCTTACGAGTTGGAACCATTCAGAGTAGCCAGAAAATTCTGACTAATTTGAATCTATAGCAATTCCTTGAATTTCGAAAAAGATCTCTGGAAACCACTAAGAAAAAGAAATATTCTTAAATCTGGGGAATGTAGCGCTTGCCCTGTCCTTGCCTTATTATAGAGTTATTATAGAGTTATAAAACCACCTTTGAAACCACTAAAGGGCTCTTGTTCGATTTCTATTGTTTGCTAGTAAAAAGTATCTGATTTTTTAGGTTAATGACTAAAATCAGATTCGCATGATAGGTCAATGGTCATAACTAGACTTCGTACTTTACAAAACCAATAACATTTTCATATGATCTATACAACTATATATGATAATTGTACCTATTGATGGGCAATATCTTTTTTTGTTGCTAATTTTCGATTCGGTTAATTATTTTGGAAAAAATATCGGTAATGCTCTCCTCAAGGCAGCATCCGTCCGCCCGGACGCTCATGTTCATGGCCGCGATGCAAGCTGAAAGCTCTAGTTTGGTTTTGGTGAATTGATGAAACCCTAAGTGTTAACCTAGTTTATCAAGTGATCATGATATAGGTAGCACACTCTAAGTGGTGAAGCAAATGAAGATCATAATATGATGATTGTGATACCATTGTGATGATCAAGTGCTCGGACTTGGAAAAAGAAGAAAGAGAAAAACCAAAAGCTCAAAGCAAAGGTATAAATCATAGGAGCTATTTTGTTTTGGTGATCAAGACACTTAAAGAGTGTGATCACATTTAGGATCGATAGTCGTACTATTAAGAGGGGTGAAACTAGTATCGGAATACGGTTATCAAAGTGCCACTAGATGCTCTAACTCATTGCATATGCATTTAGGATATAGTGGAATGCTAACACCCTTGAAAATATTTGTGAAAATATGCTAACACATGTACACAAGGTGATACACTTGGTGGTTAACATATTTGATCAAGGGTGGTGAAGTTTGGGTGCAAGGGTAAGAAACTCCATCGGCGCCCTAGACAGTAAAGACGGTGGTCACTGGGTGTGACCGGACGCTGGCCTCGGTTGGACTGAGGCGTCCGGTCAGATGTAACAGCAATGACGCTGGCGTCGGTCAAACGACCGGACGCTGGGTCGCTCTGCGACCGGACGCTGGTAGGGTGCGTCCGGTCAGTGCTGACGTACGCTGACGTAGGGCATACAGAGGAGACGTTGTGTGACCGAACGTTGGCTGTGTCCGGTCAAGCATGATCGGACGCGTCCGGTCAGGAAAAATCACGTTTGGAACCTTACTGGAAACGACCGAACGCTAAGGTCCAGCGTCCGGTCACTTTCTAACTGACGCGTGCGGTCAGCGAACGACCGTTGAAATCTGACGAACAACATTTGAAGCAGGGGACACGTGGCGTGAATCACGTGACCGGACGCTGAGGGCCAGCGTCCGGTCGATCGGACCGGAGCGTCCGGTCACCCCGCGTTGTGCCCAGTGAAGAGGTACAACGGCTCTATTTCGTAGGGGCTTCTATTTAAGCCCCATGGCCGGCTCAAGCTCACTCTCTTGGTCATTTGCATTGGCATAGCAACCTTGTGAGCTTAGCCAAAGCCCTCCCACTCATTTTCATCATAGATTAAACATCTTTGTGAGATTGGGAGAGAATCCAAGTGCATTGCTTGAGTGTTTGCATTTAGAGGCACTTGGTGTTCGTGTTTCGCTGCGAGATTCGCTTGTTATTCTTGGTGGTTGCCGCCACCTAGACAGCTTGGAGCAGCGAGGATCGTCGAGCAGAGGGTGGTGATTGTCTCCGGCTCCGATCGAGGTAATTGTGAGGGGTTCTTGACCTTTCCCTGGCGGAGCGTCAAAAGGTACTATAGTGGATTGCTCGTGGCTTGTGTGATCCTCATCTGGTGTTGGTTGTGCGGCACCTTATTGAGGGTTTGGCGTGTGATGCCAATTAGCGCGTGAACCTCCAAGTGAGTGAATCGCCACAACGAGGAGTAGTTTGCCGGCAAGCAAGTGAACCTCGGTAAAAAATCATTGTGTTCATCATTTGATTCCGAGTTGATTGGTCTTTATTGTTATTCATTCTTGTGATTGATTGGCTCCTTCATCTACACGGCGGTATAAATTTCTTGATCACTCTTTTTATATTACCGCAAACTAGTTGTTAAGCTTTTTAGTGTAGCTAGTTGTGAAAGCTTGCTTGCTTGGTTGGTGTAGCTTTTTAGTTAGCCTTTGAGAGCACACTAACATAGGGTGGTGTCATAGCTATTGTGTGAATAGATTCTCCCTAAACTAGAATTGTGGTAGGTGGCTTGTATTTTGAGTAGGCTAGCGCAACACTTGCTTCGCCTCATAATTGTTTAACCCTTTTGTTAAGTGTTGTTGTAGAAATTTTTATTAGGCTATTCACCCCCCTCTAGCCATTAGGACCTTTCACAAACCCAAACAATCCCCTCCTATCCGCTCGTCCAACTCTCTAGACACCGCAGTTTCTCAAAGAAAAAAATACCACCGCAGCGGAGCTCGACCAACGTACAGCTCGCCGTGCTCCACCCGCGTAGCTCGCGGCGACTGGCCAGGGCAGAGGCCGCCCACGCACTTCACATGCTCGGCACCCTAACTTGCCGTGGCCAGAGGTGGAGCTCACGGTAGTCCGAGCGGAGCCTGTCCACGCACATCTCACGCTCTGCTTGCCCAGTTTGCCGTGGTCAGGGTGGATCTCGCCCGCGCGCAACTCACGACGGCCGGGATCAAACTCGCCCATGCATAGCTCGCAGCGGAGCTTACCCCGCGCACAGCTCACGCTCCACCCGTACAGTGTGGAGACCCGCCGCGACCTTACCCACCGGAGCGACGATCTCCGAACTTCACATGTTGACGAGCCTCCATTCTCCCAAGCAGCAAGGAGATGTTTACGCTGAAACGGCATGTTGCAAGGCGTTTGTTTCAAGTGTTTCATAAGTATGTTACACATGTTTTATATCGATATTGTAAAAGTAGATCGAGATGTTGCACATGTTGCAATGGTGTTTCATGTATATGTTTCAAATGTTTCATTTGTTTTTAGATGGATGTTGCAAGTATCTTATCTGGATGTTACAAAGTAGATCTGGATGTTGCATATACATGCATGTTGTAATCATATGCTTCAAGTGTTTCATACGTATCTTGCAAGTGTTTTATCTAAATGTTGCATATGTTTTGCAATGACTACACATATTTCTCCTAGTGTTTAAGACGTATATTGCAAGTGTTTCAACTGTTTTCGAACGTATGTTTCAAAAAATTGATCTAAATATTGTAAAAAATAGATCTGGTATTGCATATCTTACAGTGAGACCCACCGCCACAACCACCTGCTACGGGCCCGCGTGCATGCACGTGGGAGTGGAAGGGACGTGAGGGGTAGGCGCGGAAAATGGAGTTGGGCGTCAGATCGAGACACGGACCCGCGTGGGCGTGGGAAACGAGCGGTGCAGGCCCCATAGCGTCTCGGAACGGACGTCCGCACGCGTCCGAAAAATATAGAAAGTGAAAAAAAAAACACAGGCAACTGTGGGCTTCATTTATGGCCCACCCACCCAGCCCTATAGGTGTCCATTTCATCAGGTCTGAAGACTCTCTGAACGCACGTAGGCTCCTCCGCTCCGAATCGCCATCGTCACAGTCCACGCTCCACAGCACAGGCCACGGCGGCGCCCGGCCGACGACGCGTCCAAGGTATCTTGCCTGTGCCCTGTCTGCCCTCTTCTTTCCTCTCTTCCCCTTGAAGTCTTGAACTCTGTCCGTGCCTTCGCTTACTCATGCGTCGCCGCGCGAGGTCGCAATGGCTCTGATGTTTTCCGTAACCGTCCCCTTCCGCATGTTCTTGATTCCCTTATCGATTCTGTCATGCTCGTGGATTTAAGATTTGTGAAGAAGAAGCATCAAGTGCCCTTGATAGCAATCAGTCAAAGGTGATGAATTATTATTATAGTATTCTTAGATAAACATTGGCCTGCTCAGTGCTCTCATTCCATGTCCACCAGGTGTTTGTTTCTATGCTGATGCGCCTGTCTCCTTGTTTTCTTCTCCTTCTGATCATGCCTTTTCTGCAGGATGGCAAGAGTCCAAGGCTCAGCACCGTGGTCGTGCCTTCCGCCAGAGCTCCTCGGCCTGGTGTTCCTCCGCCTCCGGACGCGTGCTGACCGAGCCTTCTTCCCTGCCGTCTGCCGCGCATGGTTTTGATTACCCAGTAGGACTACAAAATTAATTTTTGACCTCGCTCAACTTTTAAAACATTTTCTTTGGCATCTTGGTTGGTTTTGATGGTGTTTCTGATGTCACGCCACACCAGAGCGATAAATTGGACTAAGCTAAAAATTCAGTGATAACCATTTGTTTTTGTAACTTGGATGGTTTTTATGGTGATTCTTATGTCACGCCACATCGGAGAGATAAATTGGACTAAATTAAAAGTTCAGAAAGTTAATCGGACTAGAAATATATTTTAAAATATATCTAAAAATTCATAAAAATAAAATTTAAAAATTTATCTAAATAAATATTTACACGAAAATAATGCAATTAAAAATTCAAAAATCTAGTTTAGTCTTACAACATTCATAGAAATTCTGTTTTATCTCGGAATATTATGAAACTAGTTTAATTTTTTCCTAAAATCATGCTCATCTTATTGTGCGTAGCTTGAAATTGGTTGAATCTTTATGAATTCATTTTACGCTTATTTGCTAATAGAAGCTCAATTTATGTGTTATAATTAGTCGATGTGTTATTTTGTCAACCCGAGCGGACATGCACGACCAAATGGTCGGATCTGGATTTTTTTTTGAGTACATTATTTTAAAACATTGATTTAAAATCTCCTCCGCGTCCCTTTGCGTGCCCCTGGACGGTTGGACAGCAAGGCTGAATAGTCTGAATAAAGAAGGCAAGCATTTGAACTTTAAGAAAAAGTTGCAAAAAGATTATCGGCGGGAAAGGGCGTCCGTCCGTCCGTTCGGACGCTTTGTTGGTGGGCCGCGACGCCAGCCCAACTATCCCTCTCCCCGCTCCTCCATTTCAAAAAAATACTCATCCACTTATTCATATCCACTCGTTCCTATTGCTCCTACCCCGCTCATTCATATCCACTCGTTCCTATCGCTCCTATCCGCTCGCCTAACGCCTTTAAGGCGCAACACTCTGCCGCTGCCCCCTGCTAGGCGTGGCACACAGTCGCCTCCGAGGCGTAGCACTCGGGCGCTGACCTTGCTAGGGATGGCGCGCGGCCACTCCGAGTCGCGGCGCTCGGTTGCCGGCCCGGCCAGGCGTGGCACACAGCTACTCTCTCCTAGTCGTGTGGCTGTTGCCTCCCCGCCACGCCACGCGGCCGATGCCTCCCTTCCGCCTCGTGCAGTCGCCGTCGGGCCACTGCCTCCTGTGAATTCCACATGTCGACGAGCCTTCATTCTCCCGAGTAGCAAAGAGATGTTGTGCGAAAAGCGCATGTTGCAAGCATATAGTTCAATTGTTTTAGATGTTTTAAAGGTACGTTGTGAGTGTTTCATATGAATATTGCAAAAGTAGATCCGGATGTTGCACATGTTGCAATGGTTGTACACGTATGTTGCAAGTGTGCTTATTTGGATGTTGCATATGTTTCACACATATGTTACAAAGTGTTTTATCTGGATATTTCATATGTTTTGCAATGACTTTTTTCAAGTATTTTCATGTGTTTCTTGCAAGTATTTAAGACACATGTTTCAAGTGTTTTATTTGGTTTTAGAAGCATGTTGTAAATATTTCATCTGGATATTTTAAAAGTAGATCAGGTGTTACTACTATGAACCCACCTGCTGTAGCTGCTGGGGCGCTACCGAGCAGGCGCTAACGTCTGGGTGAGGGAAGCGGGGGGCGCGCGAGCTAGGGATCGAGCGGTGTGGGCGACGTTCGTGTGGTGTGGGCCCTGCATGGACACGTCACACGTGAAATGGAGTGCAGACCCGAACTTCCGGACGCTACCACTACCGAAAGATTATTGGCCCACGTGGCGCAAGCCTACTCCAGCTCAGGCCTGGAGGCTCCAGGTTTGCTCCCCTCCTGTTCGTGACAAAGGGGGGCTGAGTTCCGATGGGACCCACATGTCAGTGGAAGGTCTTGTTTCGTGGATCATCAGGGGGATGGATGGACTACCAGAAATGCCCCTGCCAAACGGACTCTCTCCCCTTCTTCCTCTCTACTGTACTTTACGAATTCAGTTCACACAGCGTCTTTCCTCTCCTCCCCTTTCCCCGTCTCCTCCCTAAAACCCTCCCAAAACCACGCGCTCCTCCGATCCACACCGACCCATGGATCGCCCCCGCCGGTCCGCCCCGCTACCCACCACTCCCCTCCAACCGCGCGATCTCGCCATGGACGACGCGCGCCAGCACCACCTCCGCCCGCGCCACGCCGCGGGGGGCCGCGTGGTCCGCGTCCGCTTCGCCGATTCCGACGCCACCGATTCGGAGTCCTCCGACGAATGCCACCGCCTCCTCCACGAGATCGGCCAGCCTCTCCCCTCGTCCCCCGCCCCCGCCCCCGCCCCCCAAAGGAACCGCCTTTCCCGAACCGCCGACCGGCCGTTCCGCGGCGTGCGGCGGCGGCCGTGGGGCAAGTACGCGGCGGAGATCCGCGACCCGGGGCTCGCCGGGAAGCGCCGCTGGCTCGGCACCTTCGACACCGCCGAGGAGGCCGCCGCAGTCTACGACGCTGCCGCGCTCCGCATCCGCGGCCGCCGCGCCGTCACCAACTTCCCCTCCTCCCCCGCCGCCGTCTCTCCGGCGCCTTCCCTCGCCCTTGCCGCGCTTCCTCCCGCTCCGTCCCCGGCCCCTGAGGCGGAGACCTCCTCGGCGTCCACGGTGGTCGACGCCGGGGGTGGCGGCGGCGACGACGAGGTCACCGGGGTGCCTCCGCCGCCGCCGTGGTTCGGGGAGGATGGCGGCCCGCTGGAGCTCTTGGACTTCGGCCTGCCCCCCGCGGCGGCGAAGCGGGGCCAGTGGGAGGAGGAGTTCGGCGATCTGGGTGACCTCGACGACCTCTTCGACCTGCCTCTCTGACACACCAATTTTGCCCTATGGAAATGGACGCCGGTGAGAATTTTCTGTTTATATAGTCGGAATCGAAATGATCCAGAGATAAAAAAAAAAATCTTGTTTTGTTTGCGCGGGGGTGAGCCGGTGAGTGAGTGAGCAATTCAGTTTTGATCATCTGACGAGTTGTTGTTGAGCGCATTGTTTCTTGCTGTGAGAAATCATGCAGAAATGCAGTTGTTATGTATCTCCAATGCAGAAATGACGAGTTGTTTTGACCATCTGATCATTTGCCTTTGCAAAAAGATGGGTGTAAATAAATTCAGTAAATTCAGCAACTGCCTTTGATCCCTCGTCAGTGTCGAACAACACTGATCAGTTCTTTCATCTTCATTGATCAGTTTAAACTGGAGGCTGGATCTCACAACAGAGTACAGAGATCGCGACTACAAGTGTGTCAATTTGAAGATGACAGCTTGGTCTCGTATAATTAGCTATGTTCACCGAGGTAGCAATAACCTCAAACTAGTTGTACACATCACCCCTGACAGAGTCAGATTAGTAGTAGTACAAATCATTGAGCCCACTGCCCACAGTTCACTGTCGCCTCATCTTCCTGTATGCTGTTTGTTTTCGACACGCTGGACCCAGTCCTGCTGCCTCCCCAGAACCCTGCTACAATTGTGCACCATCTGTTTGCATTAGTTTAGAGTTGGCGATGAATTCATAATACGCTCAAACCCAGCCCAAGTCATGTGAAAAGCGACACCTAATGGTTCAGTGCAAGCATGGAACCCAAGCAAAAGGATGCAGCACTAGAGCACTATGGTCTGTGTCTGTTGTCTAAACAGACAGTGGGCTCAGCGTTGCCTGTATCGACTCCGTGTTGCAACACCAACAAGCTAATCGAACAAAAACTTGCATCTACTAGTATACTACTAATGCATAATAAGGCAACAGCAAACGGCTGTCAACCAACCTATCTGCTCTGCACCGTCCCTCGAGTTCAGCAACTCGGCACTGTGTGTAAGTAATACTCCAGTTATCACGCATTTCATGTGCATCACTAGTAATCACGCATTTCATCACCATGACACAAACGCCCTGTTCGTTTGGGCTGGTTTGGCTTATAAACCATGGCTAAAAGTACTGTTGACTGGTTTGGGGTGAGAGAAAAATATTATTCGTTGGCTGATAAGCCATGGCTTATAAGCCAGATACGAGCAAGCGAACAGGCTTTCACTGCTCACTAGCTGCATATAGTTTACGGCAAGTTGTCGACTCAAGTGCAGGGCACAAATATAACACAGCATTTTACTGCATAACAGTGACCTAGGACTTCTCATGCGGATGCGGTATGCGGGTTAAATTAAAATGGTCGTTTGTACTCTCTGCATCCTGAACTTCGTTTAACAAGAACCGCCAAATAAGAAGTACAACTTCAGAAGATGTACACTTTGGATGCTTTATTTGTACCAAATGTATGTATTGTATACTTTTTTTGTACAGCAGCTCAAATGAGAGAGTGATGAAACTGGCAAAACCACACTAGTATCGAGTCGTGAGGAAATCAATAGTGGCTTTAAGCGCATCGATGAAGGTATCCACCTCATCTTTTGTATTGTAGAAGTGAAGACTTGCACGAGCACTTGCAGTGATACCAAGGGTCCTATGCAAAATCTGTGCACAGTGATGCCCTGACCGAATTGCTACGCCGTGCTGAAACAAAAGGGTGAACAAAATCAATACTGAATTACCAGTGCTGACGAAAAAGTTGTTTAATGGAAAAGTAAGCAGAAGCATCATACTAATAAATCATTTACTTGAACCAATTAGTTTTGGTAACAGTTAGTTCAGGGCAAGTCAACTAGACAACACGAAATCAGAGACAAACAACATGCTATGACAGGTGATTGCTCGTTCGTTGCAACAGATTTCAAATAAAAAAGTATTTAAAATTTTAAGCTCTAATAGTTGAATTACATATAGAATTAAGCCACAACAAAACTACATAGGTGGTGGAAGGCTATAAATTTATCATCTGATACACAGATCATTTCATAGAAGATGCTAATGTAGAACCAACTACCATCAGCATCAACTGTGTCAGTAAAGAAAATAAATTATAAGTACATATAAAAGCCACTGCTGGATGCTGAAAGTTGCAATTTCTCCTTGTGATCGATTTAGAATGTTAAAATTTGATCTACTTTCGAATTGCATTTAAAAGCTAGGCAATGCTGAAGAGCAAGAGCAGACCATAGAAAGATAGTAATATGCAACAGGAACAGAGTGGAGTTATAAAGTTATCTGAAAGTCCTGTACTCCTGTTACGCAATCTGATAATGAAGCTCAGAGCAAGAATGAGAAAAGTACACAACTAGAGCGTACCTGCAGATCAAGAATTTCAGCAATATCTGTCGGATGAACATTCTCCACATTGAAAGAACACAACGGAGCACGGTGAACAGTTTGGGAAGGTGCTGGACCATATATCTGGACATTTGGAACAGAAAGAAGGCTTTCGTAGAGATATGTCCCCAACTCTTTCTGGAAAGCAAAAGCTAACAGAAGTGAGAATGTTATCACAGGAATTGCTCTTTCTAGGACCAAGATAGATCTTATATTGACCTCATATTCATGGATCTGCTCCATGCCAATGCATGACAAATAATCAATGGCTGCTCCCAATCCTATAGCTTCTCCAATTGCAGGAGTTCCAGCCTCAAATCTTTCCAAACCAATCAAGAGCATTATAAGAAAACAAGGGGAGACATAAATGAAGAACATTATAATAGGGAATTTGTCTATACATTTCTGTGATTTTGTCTGTAGCACACTCTTTTGTCTGGGACAGGGTCATACAGAAAATAAAATTTAACAGTGTCCTACTGACAGATCCAATTCTATAAGAGTGATGTGTGGCCTGTTAATAATTCTGGTACAGGTTAACATGGGTATTCAAGGTGTGCCATATCAAGATGGAAATAGTCAAATTCCACATCAGAAAATTAGCTGCAGACAAAAGCAGAATCAATGTTTGATTATTAACTTCTAAAACGTGTGCCCTGTTGTCTAGTAACTTTTCTATCACTTAAGATACTCCATACACTGTATCGACTTTCTACAAAACATATGATAGCACCCAATGACAGATCTTGAAAGATCAAAGCAAGGAGTTCCTCACCTAGAGGGAGGCTCGGCGTATGTGGATCTGTCTTGGAATACATCTGCAATCATTTCACCACCACCTGCAGCAAAATCAGTACAAGCCTAAGTAAAATGCAAACAGGAAACTGAGGCTTACCCAATGCTGTAGATTTAGCTACTGATTTTATCCTCTGGCAGAGAGTGAACAAGTTCATTTCACCTTGCAGTATCTTACCTAAGAAAGGCTCCATAGATGACAAAATCTCAAATTTACCATGCAAAATTCCGACGCCTGTAGGGCCACACATCTGAGAAGTTTAGCCCATAAATTTGTGAAGGTCAATTGTTGTGTATTCCAACATGACTAGAAATTAATTTATAACAGAGAGTTGATGATAAAAACCTTATGAGAGGATGCGACAAGAAAGTCTGCGCCAAGTTTCTGAACATCAACTGGCATATGGGGAACACTTTGGCAAGCATCTACAAGGACTTTAGCTCCAACTCTGTTTGACCATGTTACAATCTCCTCGATAGGAAGCATGGAACCTGGAAACCATGAAGGAATGTAGTTGAATGCGGCTCAGAAATTGTAGTTTTAAGATAATTGATTGGAATAACATCAGTTGCATATTTAGTTTCAGCCTCATTGCGTATGAAAGAAAGTACAAATTATCATATAAAGTTCCAACACAGCTATTTGATTAAAAATTATGTCATTAATACCAATATAATAATAGCTTTTCACAAAGACATAAGTTACAGTATAATTATCATGATCTTTAAGAGCCTTTCAAATAAGGCATTAGCTTACCTAGAACATTTGCGACATGATGAACAACAACTATCTTTGTCTTGTTCGACAGAAGCCCTTTTAACTGCTCAATGTCTGGGACATTTTCTTTAGTCAATCCAACATACTTTAAGGTGGCACCAGTCTTCTGGGAAACAAATTGCCATGGAACAATAGCACTATGATGCTCCGCAACTGTAAGGACAATCTGGCCAAGAAAATAGTGGAAAAAAGGTTCTTATGAAGAATATACAAAATATTGCATGTTTTCAAAGAACACGTACTAGATCATGCTACTTGGTAAAATTTGTGATCGGCAAACCAGCATTGTTCTCTAGCAGTCATTAGATGGGCACTTTACTAACAAACATACTACAAAGGAATGAGTGGGACTTTTAAATTTTATTTATTTATTATTATTATTGTTGTTGTTACAATTATGTTTTTTGCACAACTTTTACAGCTGCATGAATCAATACATGAAGTTAAGATCATAGACAGTAGGTACAGTAAACTAGATAAACCATAATGTAACAGCAGGAATGAGATAGAAGCCTCACTTCATCTCCTTCTTTCACGTTAGATAGTCCCCATGAATAGGCTACCAGATTGATAGCTTCTGTAGCATTTCGAGTGAAAACAATCTCTCTGCTATCAGCTGCATTGACAAAATTTGCAACTTTTCTTCTTGCATCCTCATATGCATGAGTAGCCTTTGCGCTGGTGCCAAAGGAACCGGCATGTCAGTTAACTTACAACATGTACTGTGTACACATATATTGGTAGCAGTGTAAACACCCAAAACTCAAACAAATGAAGGAACTCATGCACATTGGCCAAAGAACACCATGAACCGACTGATCTATCTTTTTGTGTATAGTGCGTCAGTTGATCATTAAATACTATAGAATCAACATTTAGAAATGCACATAGAAGAGCTTATCAAAATCAACAACAACAACAAAGCCTTAATAGAATGAAATGAAAAAAAAAACAGAGCAAGTTCTGCTCAGTAAATGTGCATTCCAAGTTGGCATTAACATGGATTTATAGTTTAGACACACTTCATGGAGAAATAACAAACAATTGTATATGCTACCTGAGTGCATGAATACCACGATGAACATTCGAATTGTACGATCGGTAGTACTCATCTAATGTTCTCATCACACTATAAGGTTTCTGTGATGTTGCACCGTTGTCGAAGTAAACTAATTTGGTACCATCGAATTCCTGCAAGTTCCAACAGTACAAATGGAATCAGAGTCTCCTAACTAAAATGTTACTAGAAGCTACTAGTATCCAGCAGACAGTAAGACTGCTTTGCGCATCGTGTCTCGGGATATGGCACAGATTCTCGAATGAAAAGGAAAAGAAACAAAATCTTATGATGATAGTAGTAGCAATTCACAGGCTACTAAATGCAACTGCTGGGGTTGCTCTAAGAATGTAAACATGGGTGTATTTTCACCTCGAAAGTTACTAACTTCTGAACAATCAGAAGTTCAGAACCGATGTGCCCCTGCTACACGCAGAGTTTGAGTAGCCAGGAACTCAAATGAGCTCAAGGCCTTACGATTGACTGAACTGTAACCCGAGCAAAGCAGCAGATAAAACGGGCGTAGGCAGCACAATAGACCTGGTGAAGGATGGGGAAGTCGACGCGGGTGCGGTGCCCCAGCGACGAAACCGGCTCCGCCTCCCGCGACGGCGCCGCCACGGCCGCTGCGCACCAGCCCCGCCTGGAGGAGGTGGGCTTGACGAAGCCACTGCCGACACCGGAGGAGCCGGGGAAGCAGCACCGGAGCGCCGCCGCCGTCGCCGTCGCCGCCATGCGCGCCGTCGCGGCTCCTGACGAGAACGATAGCGTTTTTGTTCGGTTGGGGGCTTGGGGCTTCTTTCTGCCGCTGTGCTGTAGGCCCCACGTGTCAGCCTCCAAACAAGAGCAAGCGGCAAGCCTCGAGATGCTGCCGTTGGGGCGGGCGTTGACCCGCTGACCAGACCCACCCGTCAGTCACCCCATGGAATCGGCGTGGGAGTGGAACAGCCCGACGTGTCCTCGCGTGGCGGCGACGCCGCTCCGAGCGACGCCGCGCGTGTCGCTCCTCCGCTGCGTCCTCCTCGCGGCCTCCTGCTTCATCCCACCCGCCATGCCGCCGGGCGCCGACGAGGGCGAGTGGGCGGCGGTGGAGCGCCGGGGCCCACACCTGTGGGCGTCGGGGCGGCCCTTCGTCGTCCACGGCTTCAACACCTACTGGCTCATGTACTTCGCGGCCGACCCCGCCACGCGCCCCGCGGTCACCGCCGCCCTCGCGGACGCCGCCGACGCGGGGCTCAACGTGTGCCGCACCTGGGCCTTCAACGACGGCGGGTACCGCGCCCTGCAGCTCAAGCCCTTCTCCTACGACGAGGAGGTCTTTCAGGTGCGCGCCCCGTCGCTATTCTTGTTGTAGTATGCGCGGCGCTTGTTTGATGAAATGCTTGGTGCATGGGCCTCTCGTCTTCTCATCATTTATTATTGTCAATCGTCCAGCGTTTGTACTACGTTCCCTGTATCTCTCAAACAGAGACTCATATCTGTGCAGTAGTACTAGTTACTAATTAATCAAGTGACAACTAAGCTTAGAATTCCATTTTTTTTTGTTACAGGCATTAGATTTCGTGATCAGCGAGGCAAGAAACCATAAGATGAGGCTGATACTGTCACTGTGTAATAACTGGGAAGATTATGGAGGTAAGGCACAGTATGTAAGGTGGGGAAAGGATGCTGGCCTGGATCTTACTTCCGATGACACCTTCTTCTCTGATGCCACAATCAAGAGCTACTACAAAGCTTTTGTTAAGGTAAACATTCTGCTTGCATGGCTCAAAATGGAGAAGCGAGTCTCAATATATTCATAGCTTCGTGATCTTAATTCTTATCAACATCTGTTTTTAGGGCACTCACGCCTTACCATCACAATTACATACATTGTTCTTTCATATCTTAGGCTGTTTTGTCAAGAAAAATACAATCACAAATGTCGCCTACATGGATGACCCTACGATTCTTGCCTGGGAGCTGATTAATGAGCCACACTGCCATTCAGATCCATCAGGTGACACATTGCAGGTCCTTACTTTGCTTTCTTTTGTTACAGTTCTGTTTCCTTTTATTTTTTCTATACTACACGTGTTTTAACACTTGGAGTTTCTTGTAGGCATGGATAGAAGAGATGGCGTCTTATGTGAAGTATATAGACCCTGTGCACCTTTTAGAGATCGGCGTTGAAGGGTTTTATGGTCCGTCGACTCCAGAACTTCTGCACGTGAACCCAGATGCTTATTCTGGAACTATTGGGACGGATTTTATCAGGAACCATCGTGCACTGGGAATTGATTTGGCTTCTGTTCATATTTATTCTGACAATTGGTAAGTCCTCATGTAGACATGTTCTTTCCACTGTGAGTTATGTAGCTGACCAGCTATAAATGCTTCATCTAGGCACTTCATGAGATTGAGTTGATTATCATGACTGAGTGAGATCCTTTTGCCAGGTTGCCTCACTCTGAAGAGGACAGTCACCTCCAGTTTGTGAAAACCTGGATGCAACAGCATATTGATGATGCAGCCAACTTGCTTGGGATGCCAATTCTGATAGGGGAGTTTGGGGTATCACTTAAGCGTGGAAAGTTTGGCCATAAGTTTCGTGAAGCTTTCATGGAGACAGTTTACAGCACTTTTTTGAGGTCTTGGAAGAGTGGAGTGATTGGAGGAGGCTGCCTTGTTTGGCAGCTTTTCCCTGAAAGCACTGAGCACATGGATGATGGTTATGCAGTCTTTTTTGCAAAATCACCATCCACATTAAAATTACTTACAGATCACTCGAGGAGTCTGGAATCTTGAAAATGTGTTGCCTCCCTACTTATAGGAGTATATGACACAGTCCATGCTTTAAGTTTTGCAAGCCAAAAAACATGTCCCAGAAAGTTGAATTTTTATTGTCTAAATTGTAAGGCACGTGTGAGTATGACACAATAATATGTACTGGTCTCTGGATCTAAAAAATAATGTGTTTTCATGTAAATGAGAGGGTAGATAACTAGATATTGAACTTTGGAATGAAATTCCCTCTGTCATGCACTTACTGAATTGCATTCCAACAATATCCTTATACAAATGAAGTGATTTCTTTTTCACGTCCCGTATTGTAGTTTGAGCCTTTATGTGTCATGAGGTGATTATCTATTATGAAACTTATTGAAGTGAAAATCTATTGTTCAAATGTTTTCATCATCTGAGAACTTTTAGGGATGTCAGAAGTTTGCTTACTTTATACTTTATGAAAACAAGAACTCTTGAATTGCCCAAAAGAGAAAAATAATAACTCTTTAAAGGTCTCAGTTAGATTAACAAAGACTGGCCAAAACTGTATATTGTTATCAATCACTGGTGCAGTTAAAAGTGCTTCCAAAGTAGCATCTATATTTTACGTATTTTTCTGTATGACATGTAAGAATTTTTGGAATGGAAATTATAAAGGCTCTGACTTGAGTGAATTGTTCAAAAAAACTGAAGTTAAGTGTTTGCGCTGAGCGATGTTTTACTTGCAGCCTTGCAGCATTTTTTTGCAGATATACCTTGAAGATTCACTGAGAAGCATGTTTGACAAATCTGAGGTCCTAAATCTTGTGGTGATTATTGTTTGTCGGTAGTGTTACAAGAATTCGGGCAACCCCAGTCTGTAGCTTTCTGCATTTGTGCATCATAGAGATTTGACTATTAAATTAAACAGCTGTTCTGGTGCAGAGAAGAAGGGACTGTGATCTGTATCTATGACCAAAACTTCACTGGGTGGCCACTTCTTGATCATGGAATCTTGCTGTTGAGGATCCAGCATGTGGTCACGCTCCGTCTTTATGAAAATTCGTTTGATTCGGTTCAATCTCTCATCATCTCCTTCGAAGCTTGCTGTACTGATAGCTGTTGCAGGCCACGGACGCATCAGCATTGAAGCAAGTACTGATTCCTATACCAGATAAAAATAAGGATGTAAGTAAACTCTGCATCATTATTCACTTTTCATCGGAGCAGATGTTTAGTTCAGGAAATGAATGCTCAAGAAATAGGAAAGGGAAATAATAAATAAATATCCTTTTACGATGAATTATGCTAATACAATGTTTAGATTTTTGTTACATAATCAGTAGTTTAGTAAAGAGCGTGGCTTTGGTGAGCACATCCCCACATATATATTTACAATGTGCGGTGAGATTATGTTTTCTATTCTTGCTTCAATGTTTCTCCCAAGGCACATTTCATACAATATAAATATATAATACCTCTTCAGGGCTTTGTTGTGATAGTCGATCACGCTGGAATTCTAGCCTCAAGGCAATGGTCGTTGGAGGATCATCTGCTCCTGCACCAAGTGTCAACTCAATCTCGTTCTCAGGCAAAGTTGGTAATCCCTGTTACATGTTAATATGAAAACGATGTAATAATCATACACTGTATTATAACAGAAGATTAATCACAGTAAATTCATTACGAGCTAAGGTAAGTTCGTATAATTGTTTCAGAGTTCTTCTCAAATTTCCTGAACTTTCTATTTCGTGTCTCTATGCATATGACTATGCTGAGAATAAGTCAGTTTTTAAAGAACTCGGTGCCTGGTTGACATTTCCACCATATTACCCTACTTTTGATCAAATACAGTTTAGTAGCTACTGCAACTAGGTGGGTCTGTGCTCATATGAGTTATTACATTTCTCTTTTTATAATAAAAACCTAAACGTTTGCACTATATGTATATATTTGTTTGATGTGTAGTGTATGACTGTATGGCTTATATTTTTGTCATTTGCTACGAGGTCTATGCTTTACAAATAGAACAAATAGATTCTTAAAAACATTACATCTTTCTTATCTTCATCAGCTTGAAATCCAAATGGTAGCATTGTAGCTGCCACAAAAAATGATTGACTGATCCTGTCAACGAATTCATGCATTGCATGGATCACACTCAGCCCTCCAGCACCATGTCCGACTAGAATAACCTGGAATTGGACTGAAATGAGTTAGCATGGCACACCAATTTTCAACATTGTTCTTAAATAGCTCCTTAGCTAGCTGCCTTAAGTGTGTTTGCTGGAGTCGCATAATTTCTAAATTTTGTTTGTACAGCACTGCTGTAAGGTATATCCTCAGGTGCATGTTATCCACTTATCCTAGATACAGTGTCAAGGATGATAACTTAAGCACAGCTTATGATTCAATAAGTTAGGTTCCACTTACATTTGTGCAATATGATACACCTTTTATTCAAAATAGCATAAAACATTTTGCCTATGGCCATTTACACTGCAATCCGTAATACTGATATTACAAATTGTGGCAACATATCATTACTTATATTCAATGTGTTGGCAAAAAGGAAGAACAATGCACGTACCTTCTCCCCCTCTGGCAAGGTTGAAATGAGGTCTATGAGCGGCTTGTCATACTGCTTGAACGACCGGATTGTGTTGGGATCAGTAGGATCGACGCCACCTCCGGCAAGGTCAACACATGTAACACGGTAGCCAGCGCCCTCAAGGAGCCAGCGGAGCTTGAACCAACACCAGGCTCCATGCCCTTCACCATGAACAAGCACAAAGTGCTCCTTTGCCGCCATTCCCATCAGCCTGGCCTCTGCCTACCAATCTAAGTTTAACTATTTGATGGACATGCAGCAGGGGAGCTGCATTTTCATGGCCAGTCCAAATTAAATGTCAAACCGACAAGGCGTCCAGTGATTTCCATTCTAAATAGAGTCTCATGACAGCAGGTGTCTACGTTTCTGGCATGCAGAGTTGCCTAATATGGTAGATGATCAGGATATAGCGTGTGGACCAGCTAGTTTTTCTCCTTTTTTTTCCCCTTGTGTGTGACTGATAGGTATATATTTAGCCTTCTGACATCATGTTTTTTCCTCCTTGTGGTCTTATGGTGGTGGGCTGACAGCCATTTATCATCACTCGCTTTCACCATGGTACATGCATGTATTCATCAAATTTGCATTGCAGAATATATATGTCTTATGGTGGTGGGCTGACAGCCATTTATCGATAAGTAAACAATAACTTGATTGGCATACTGCATACATATAGCACCACTGAAAAATCAGCACAGGTGGAGCCTCCGATGGGGACTATGAGTACGCTACACCAGCGTTTACATATCACAATGACCTGAGGATCAGCTCGAAGAGACGCTCCGGTGCAGAGAAGAAAGGGCTGTGGTCAGTGTCTATCGCCACCACCTCGCTCGGCGGCCACCGTCGGATCATCGCCTCCTGCTGCTCCGGCTTCACCATGTGGTCATTGGCTGTCTTTATGTACACCCGCGGCACTGCGTTCACTGCACTCTCGGTGCCATCATTGACATGGCCAAACCTGGCGGTGCTCAGAGCGGCTGGCCATGGGCGCAGCAGAATGGATGCAAGTGTGGAGTCCTGCAGAAATGTTTGTTCATGGTGGTGAGTTCACTGAAACTTATCTTGCTTCTGCAAATGAATAAATAAATGGTTCGTTATATTAACCTCATGGGAGCATTGCTGATACAGGATTGCGCGCTGGTGCTCCTCTCTCAGCGCCACACTTGTTGGAGGGCAGTCGTCTCCCAGACTGAATTTCAGGTCGTACACGTCACCAAACTCGGATAAATCAGGTACCCCCTATTGGTTTCATTCAGTCCAAGTTTCAGAGAATACGCACAATGCGACTTTATGTAACCAAATATAAATAAGAGTTGAACAAAACAATAAGCATATATAGGGGAAGTTTTGATGAATCACATCTTTTATATCTTGTTCCGTTTGGTACCCAAACGGGAGCATGGTTGCTGCTATGAAGATGGCTTGCTTGATCTTGTCTCTGAACAAATGCATCGCATGGGTGACGCTCAGGCCTCCAGCGCTATGCCCTACCAAAATTACCTGACAAGCAACAGTAACACTGCACTGGAGTCATCTATGCTATTATATATCAACCGGTAACAGAAATATTCACACAAGTTGCCTTTTTTTAGGGAAACAGGAGGGGTGGAAACCCCTACTGAGATTTATTAACAAAAGGAACAAAAGTTAGCAAAAGTTACACAGAGAAAGAGAAACAAGAGAGAACTCAGGGGACAGAGGAGGTGGTAAAAAAGATGAAGCTAATTACAAAAGGCCATTCTTCAATAGCAGGGAAGAATTTTTTCTTTGCGCAATGGATAACCAAGCCAAAGCCGCTCTTAAACAGAGCGTTGCAATTTTCTGTGGATGCAGCAACACCATTGAAGATTAGCTTATTCCTTACTGTCCAGATGCACCAGCTTAAGATGATTATGATACCCACAAGTTGATGTTTCAAAGGTACATCAATTTAGTTTCTCAGAGTCTAAACTGAAGTTTTGTGTGTGGATGTTGTAATCGCACCAATTTGTTTTCTCTTAATTCTATCATACGCGGAGTTCTCTCCCTTTTTTCCTTTTTCTCTGTGGGAAGCAGTCAGTAGTATGAACTGAATTGTTGATGGCATGAACTTGATGCAATGAAGGGAACACACACCATACAGTACGTAATAACAATCTGCATATACACTTCGTCACTCACCTTGTGGCCGTCTGGCAAGGCCGCCACGAAATCGATAAGCGGCGCTTCGTACTCGTCGAACGACCGGACATTGTCCGGGTCGACGAGGCTGCCGGTGGCCCCGGCGAGGTCGATGCAGGAGACGCGGTGGCCGGCGCCCCGGAGCAGGCACGCCAGCTTGAACCAGCACCAGGCGCCGTGGCCGGCGCCGTGCACGAGGACGAAGTGCTCCTTGTTGGCCTTGTAAACCTCGCCGCTGGCCTCCATCTCACTTGCAGCTTTGTTTACAAAATTAGACTAAGATCGCGTATGCACTATTGTGTATATATGCATGCATATATACGGCCATATGTAATACTCCTATGTTGCTTACGTTTGAGACAGGCATTTGCAACCAAATGTGAGTTGAAATGGTCAATGGATCGATGAACAAATCAGGCCAAGCAGATGAGCGGACGGAATCGCCAATTGGAACAATCGTACGTAACGTATATAATCATATTGTGCGTACGTGCAGCTGCCCTAAAGTTTAGGGTATATATTAGGGAAATGCTACGGTGAGGACGTCTGGACGCTCCTGTTCACGGGCCGCAACACTAGCCCAATGGCCTAATAGTCGTAGCCCCTCGTCCACTCGCCCCTCCATTCTCCATAAAAAATCACCGCAACTCGAGCAGACGCGCTCCATCGCACCGCCTCGCGCGTTCTCCACGGCGGTTGGGGGCTTGACCGCCAACATCTCCACTGTGCTCGAGAGCGGCTGCCCATCTTCCTCCCTCTCCATCATGCCTCCCAACCGCCCGCCTTCCTCCCTCTCCACCGCGCCTCCGGCCCGCCGCGGCCTTCTCTAGCTCGTCGGCCGCCTTCTCCACCGGAAGCGACAGCTCGTGCCAGACCGCCACGGCCTTCTCCACCGAAGTGCGACAGCTCGCGCTAGCACGAGATTAGGAGCACCACCATTCAGCGCCATGTTCCCATCCACCTCGCCCATCGCGGAAGGGGAGGCAGGGGAGGTCTGCACCTACGTCTGGTGAGGCTTGCACTTGCACCTGCGCCTACGCCCCCATCCACCTCACGCTGTCGGCAGGAAGGGGAGGCCTGCGCCACCGCAGCCCCACAAGGTAGGCGCCGGCGACGCTGTGTTTCAAGTGTTTTAAGGCGTTTTTAGATATGTTGCAAGGCTATGTTTCAAATGTTTCAGTTGTTTCAGACATATATTTTAAGTGTTTCATACGGATGTTGCAAAAGTAGATTGGGATGTTGCAATGGTTGTACATGTATGTAACAAGCGTCTGTTTCCAATGTTTCACCTGTTTTTTCAGACGTATGCTGCAAGTGTGTTTATTTGAATGTTGCATATGTTTCACTTTCACACATGTTCCAAGTGTTATGGCCGGATGTTGCGTAATGTTTGCAATGTTTTCAAGTGTTTTTCAGGTGTTTCATAGGCATATTTCAAGTGTTTCATCTGTCTTTTTTTGTATGTTGCAAGTGTTTGCATCTAGATTGGGGTGTTGCACATGGGATGCGCGCGGGAAGTGAGAAGGGGCGCGAGCGGCCCTCTGCGTGCGGTCTGGTGGCGCGAACGACGTTGAGGCAGCGCAGGTCCACTGCTGGGGCGCGCGCTCGCAAGTCTGACGTTGCTAGAGGCGCTCGCTCGCTTGCTGCGTGGGCTCCGTCCGACGCTAGTGCCCCAGATCTAGTCCTTATATATTATTGTTCCTAGGGTCATAACACCAAATTAAACTGCAATTTGGGCATATCTATTTTTTTTTAAAAAAGTACAATGCAAGAAACAACTACATTGATTCGTTTGCAAGTAGGGGATTAGTTTAAGCTTATGTCGTCAACCTGGGTAGCTTGTACGCCCTCCGTTCCATTGTTCTTGTCATTTTATTATAGAAAATGGACTATAACTTTTTCTATTATTACAATTATATAAAAAATTCAATAACTATGTAAATTTCTAAAAGTGCTTTTAAGACTAATGTATACAAGCTATCTTATAATCTTCAAGCTAAATATTTAGAAGTTATTGATAGTCAAGCTTCAAACTAACGGAAGGGCAAAAAAATGAAACACATTTCGTTTTGGGACCAAATAGAGAAATTCAAAATAAAAAAAGGTCAAGAAAGGAAACACAACATTTTTTACGGCTTAGGAACTAAATTTCTCATATATTTGTCGTCGACTTGTCGGCTGTCGCCGAGGTGCCAAAAAAAAGAAAAAAGAAAAATCAAAGACAAGCGAATGGTTGTGTGGGCCATTTGTGGTTTAAACGGGCCCGAACGTACGGAAGATAGCACTTCGTGGTGCCCTTTGAGGTTACCTAGTTGGGCCTAGCCCATGACAGAAATATGGGCTATTGTTGGATTAACAGCGCCTAGCTGCTAGAGACAGATTGGTCAGGCGTCACGCTCACGAAGAACAGAGTTGGGGGTACGGTGACAAGCTGTGCCTGTGCTGTGCAACAAGCCCAAATTAAATGTGTCGTGTGTCGGCACAACAACCAGTTCATGTGTGCTCACTGCTCAAGTACACTTCTCTGGGAGGAGTCACAAGCTGTGTCTCGATGTGCCTGTATTAGTTTCTAAAATTTTACAAAATTTTTCAAGATTTTCCGTTACATCGAATCTTTAGACGCATGCATGAAGCATTAAATATAAATAAAAAATAAAACTAATTACACAGTTGTGACGAAATTCACGAGACGAATCTTTTAAGCCTAATTAGACTATGATTAGACACTAATTACTAAATAACAACGAAAATACTACGATACCATTCTCAAAAAATTTCGCCTAACTAAACAGGTTGGTAGGCAGTCAAACACGTCGATCTGGACGGAATCTAATTACATGTTTGGTTGCGTTTGGGTAATAATTGAAGGCATTAAATAATGAAGTACTATCATAGGACATTGATAGTACCTACGTTCTGGCCATTCCTGTTTTTTTATTCATTTACCAGTAGAGAATGTAGGCCATTATAAATCACGAAGAATTTGTTTTTTTATGATTCAAATCACGTGGAATTTGTTGGAATGGAGGCCCTGACCGGTTCGCTTCTAAAATTTGACATGTCAAAGATTTGGCAAGTCATGGTTTTGGTTAGTGTTTGGTTTGCTACCAAAACTTGTCAAACTCTCGTATTTAGCTTGTCAAATCTATGACAATTTTTTTGTCCAAACTTTTGGAATGGTAAATTTTGAAAGTCAACCAAGCAGGCCTAAAATTTATTTGATGGAATGATTTGACTATGCCATGTAAATCCCTAACTTAGAGCATCACTTCAACGGTTTTTGGTTCATCCATTTTGATGTCTATCTAGACATATTATCATATACGTAGATGCATAGCAAAAATAGATACAGCAAAGAGGTCATGTTATTAAAAATTATCGGAGGAAAACAGCTATCTTCTTTCTACCAAATTTAGATTTGATATGTGATTTTTTAGAAAACAGCTAGAGTCCATTAACAGCAACAACACACGACTGTATCACCGAGTCAACCCTACAAGATGCCTTGCGAAAGAGGAGATTATCTTGTTTCCTTTTCTTAGGCCCTGTTTAGATCCCACCCAAAATCCAAAATTTTCCAAGATTCCCCGTCACATCGAATCTTGCGGCACATACATGGAGCATTAAACGTAGGTAAAAAGAATAACTAATTGCACAGTTTGCCCGTAATTGGCGAGACGAATCTTTTAAGCCTAAATAGTCCATAATTGGACAATTTTTGCCAAATACAAACGAAAGTGCTACGGTGTCCATTTTCTAAACTGGAAGGGATTTAAACATGCCCTTATTTGATTTTGACTTGGACGTAAATTGACCGCAGCAGCAAACAGCCCCATGATGACAAGACCGTGTCCAGGCGGCTCACACCACTCGTGCTGACACGCAACTTGCAAACAGCGAAGTGAAACCAAGCATTCAACCAGCCGGTCAGGGTCGTCAGAGACAGCCAGACAGGGACACGGGGACGGGGGACGGGGGACGGAGCCCGGAGCACAGCAAAGCTCCGACCTTGCGCCGCCACGTTTGTCTCATCCCTCCCACTCCTCTCCCTCTCCCTCTCCTCTCCTCGGCGCCCTGCACGCCGTCCCATTTCTCTCTTCCCCCTCCCCCCCCCCCTGCCTGTCAGTCTGTCTGTCTCGGAGAGGCGGCGGGGCTCGGGCTCTTCTTCCTCCCTTCCTCAATCCTCCCCTCCTCGTCCTCCTCCTCCCGAGTCAAACTCCAGCCAGCCAAACCAGCAGCCTCGACCTGGCCGCCGACAGGCCGAGCGATTGATCGGGGGATCGAGGGAAGGAGGGAACAGGCTACATGCCCAAGTCCAGCATCAGGGAGAGGGAGCAATCTTCAGGAACAGGATCATCATGCCTTCTTGCCCGCGGCGAAAAAGAGCTAAAGGTTAGTTTTTTTTTCCCACCACAACTCTTTCCGCTCGCTCGCTGGGTTGCAGCACTACTACTATTTCTGGATGCTCCTCTCTCTCCATTCCAACCCTAGTCCCTAGATCTGCTACCGCTCCAAGCCATGGCCAGCCTGCCTGCGTGCGAGCCTCGCTGCGATTATTGGTGGTGTATTAACTTATTTAGGTGCCGGGCATTTTGTTTTTTTTATTATCCCCAACTGAAATCTAGATTGAGTGAGTTGTCGTCGACTAAACTCAGTCCAGCACTCCAGACAGCTCCCCCCTGAGAAAATAAAATATCGCTCGTCTGTTCTTGATCTTGGTCCGGATTCATTCCTAGATGCCTCCCCGAGTACACAAGCGAGGGGATAGTAAACAGAGTCATGGCACTCTGACTCTCTGAGGTGGTGAATGGGTACAGAGTGGCACGCTGATGTAGCTTTGTTTCTCTGCACCAGCAGGGGATTGATGCCATTTGACTCCACCGCGCGCATCTAGCCTCCTCCGGAGCTGATAGACCGCGGGGAAGCCATGGCCATGGAACCTCACAGCCTGCGGTTCGTCAGGTGCCCCAAATGTCACCAGCTCCTCGTCGAGTACCCCTCCATTCCTGTCTACAAGTGCGGCGGCTGTGGCACGGTTCTCAGAGGTACGAATCGTTCCATCCGTCTTTCATTTCTATGTTTATGGAAACAAACAAACAATCTGATCGGTATATGTTGTGTCACCGATGCAGCGAAACATCGGGCTGCCCCTGCAGCACGATCTGGTTCGGAATCTGGGGAGCGCAGCACCAGCTCTCCGTGTAGTCTGAAGGGATCCTCTATCCAGAGTAGCGGATCGATCTGCTCGGGCGAACAGAGAGCTGACCCCTCTGTTGATCGGCCTCATGGAAGTGTGTCCTCCACTGTCAACAATATCGACTCCTGTGACGGTGCAGTCGACGAAAGAACTATTTCTGCATCAGATAGTGGTGTAACCCATGCCAAGCATCCAAAGGAGGACACATGCTCCTTAACTGATGATGGGAGTACCCAAAACTCTGAGGTTATGGTCAAAGAGAAAGAGACACATAACGAAGATGCTGGTGCTGGTTCTACTTCAGATTTGACTGAAACAGTCGAGAATGTTGACATGGGTGAAAAGGCCAATGGAGGCAAAATCAGTGATATTGGTACTAGTGAATTGAGCACGACACTGTATGATAAAAGTCAGGCTGCTCACAGGGAGGAGAGACCGCACATGTATGAAGGCGTGCATGTTGAGTCTCACAAAGCTCTGATCGAAGAGTTGGAGAGGTCTCTTTCATTTAGTAGTGATGATGAATACTTCTCGGACAAAGCAGAAAGCAGCGGGCTAAGTGATGCTCTGCGTAACCAAATGGGTAGCCGCAGGTTCAGAGCGAATGATGCCCCCAGAAGCGATCCACATGGTCGATTGATTGAAGAACTAGAGATGTCTTTCAGCGATGCAGAAGAGCCATTGGAGCAGCATGGGATGAGTTTAGGTAGAGTTCATGGAAATGTGCTTGACAATGATCCACAGGCCCTGGGTGCTAAAAGTGCACATCCATGTGAAGAAAGCCTCTCATCATTTGACAGTGGACATCTCAAATCTGAACAAACTTCTCACCAGGAAAGCAGGGAAATAGGCAATGGCAATCAAGGAAATGAGCGTATTGAAGATAACAACAATACTGCTAACTCTGTTCATGGGAGTGAGCATATTGTGATTGCCGATGATGAAATTGCAGAGAGATTCCATGAGAAAGAGCATGGTAAGGATTTCCAGCCTGCAAACACAGAAAGTGCATATCCTTTTGAAGGAAGCACCTCTTCAGTTGATGATGGCAGTATCGAGGTTAAGCAAAGTTTTCAACTAAATGACCTGACAGCAGATGTCAATCGAGAAATGGAAGATGACAAGATAGCCAATGATAATCTTGTGCCTGCAGATTCCCATGAGAAAGAGCATGGGAATGGTAATCTTGTCCTTGTGCCTGCAGAAGAAGCAGAGACAGTTTGTGTAAATGAAGAGCTAACAGCAGATGGCACTCAGGAAATGGAAGATGGCTACATGGAAGATGACGAAACGACCAATTGTGTGCATCGCAATGATAATTCTATGCTTGCAGATGAAAACATTGCAGAGAGAGTTCACAGGAATGAAGATTTAACAACTGATGGCACTCAGGAAATGGAAGAGGGTTGTATGGAAGATGGCAACATGACCAATTGCATTCATGTCAGTGATAATCTTGTATTTGCAGATGAAGACACTGCAGAGAAAGTTCATGGAAATGAAGAGACAGCTGATGGCGCTGGAGAAAATGAAGAGAGCTGTATGGAAAATGAAAATGTGAATGTTGCTGTTGCAGATGAGGACATTGCAAAGAAGGTTCATGAGAATGAGCATGGTAGGGATCGACGGTCCCTGGAGGACGAAAGTGCACATCTGTATGAAGGAGTCATCACTTCATTTGCCGGATACTCCAAATCTGAACAAAGTTTTCAACAAGATGAGCCAATACCTGATGCCACTGAAGAAAAGGAAGAGGATTTTATGGAAGATGGAAATACGGCCAGCTGCCTTCAAGAAAACAGGGCAGCTGTTGCTAGGTTCTCAAGCTTGCCAAATAAGAGGAATCAGTCCAAGTTAGCTAGCTTTAATAAGAACAAAGAACAAATGACCTACAGATCTAGAGGTAGCCAGCTTCGTCAGGGACGGTCACTTGATTCTGAAAATTTCCACTCAATTCAAAACTTTATGGAGTCACAAATGGATGGTACCTCAAGTTCTCTCTCAAGTGGGTCTCCCAGTCGGGGTGATTTGGTGCACAGAACAGCCAACAAGTTCAATAATAACATTAGACATGTGCGCCTCAAAAAGATGGATGAACTAAGAGATCAGCTAAGTAGGCTTTCGAGCCAGAAGGGCTCGGAGACAAGTTACCAGAAGAGAGACCTAGAGTACCAGCAACAATCCAATAGCTATGATATTGAGCACTATGATGTTGAGCACCATCTTCAAAGTGTTGACGGTGATTCCGCTCCAAGTTCCTGTGCTCTAGAATCCTATTATGGTCATGGAAGGCCGCCAAGGTACCCACCACCAAATCCTTTCTCTCCAACCTATACATACACCCATTGCCATTTTGGACATGCTCAAACACGCCTACCACACAATTATGACCCATGGGAGTTCAATTCATATTATCAGCCCTCGTATGCTGAAAGCACAATTCTGGACCATGAATCACTTAGGTCAAGTTACAAGGAGCAGAAACGAGTTGTGAGAAAGCATATTTTGCGGCCTCTGTCAGGTGCTTCCCCATTCACTATCTGCAATAGCTGTTTCAATTTGGTTCAAATGCCATCAGATATCTACATATCAAAAGCAAAGGTTGGCAAAATGCAATGCGGCAAGTGCTCCAAGGTTCTGGCATTATCATTTCCTGCAGTATACAATGCAAATGCAAAGAGTAGTGTGGATGTGGCCCAAGAGTCATACAACCTGGATGATAGCGTAGTCGCTAAAAATGATGATATTGCTTCTTATTATGCTGAGTGCCTCACAGGGGGTCCTGTTAGTATCAATGAAGATTATGGAGCATCATACACAAGAAGCTTGCCTACTCAAGCTGGATCTAGTAGCCTTGCTGCCACAAAAAGTGGCAAGAACGTTTCTGACTCGGCACTCCATCGACTCATGGGGTATGATTCAGCTAGCCAGTTGTTACGTCACAGCAGGGTGTTTGAAGACGGATATGAGAGCTTCGAGTCAATGGTGCCAGTTTCCAGCAGAGTATCCAGAAGAAAGAACAAATAAGGTTTTACTCTGGAGTGTGAAACCTTTTGCTCCCTTTGCAAGTAACTTAGGAAGGAGAAACAATTTTGGAGTGTGGTCCAACGGTACCGCAGAAGCCCTTCCTATGATCTGAAGGCAAGTTGGCATCTTGCCATAAATAGTTTCATTAGTTTCTCAGAGAAGTTAGAATATTTGAAGCAATTTAGTTGTCATATTCTTTAATATGGTGTATAGATATTGCTTATTCTTGTTGTAAATTTGTTCATATCTGGTATAATGACAATTATTAATACCACACTGTTGGTAATCTCATTGTCAAAATTGATCATATAGTCGGTATACTAGTAAGTTCAGGTCTTTCGCAACTCCTACATGTTGAATTAAGACACAGAAATGGGAGCTGTAGACATTGTATTGACACTAACATAGTCATTTTCATTTTAGCTTTTTTATTCTCTGTCACAAGAAAAATGTCCACGGCCGACAGTGGCATGCTAACAGATCAAAGGCAGGTTGCACATTATTTGTGCTGGCTCATGTGTGGAGGTGAGGTGGACTACCCAACCAACCACTAAATTTTGCAGGTGCATGTGGCTTGTCTGTAAAGACATGCACGATGTGTCTCATGATCGCAGTCGCAGCAGACAAGGCTGCTGCTGGATCTGATTGCAATGTCAAAGGCAGAGGCTGGCTGTGGACAGGCTAATACAGCCATTCCTGATATTGTGATACTATAACCCCACAATGCCATGAAAAAAGGTGGTGATGCAATGATGACATCCTTGTGATGAGCTTGTTCTGCAAGTGTTTTGTTGGATTCCATATACTGTTTTGCATGGGGGCGTGATAATGTGAGAGCATAACAATCATTTTTATATTCCTAGGATCTGGTCTGTCTGTTCATGTGCACCATGTGTAATCTTCTGAAAAGAAATGGGGGAAAATATGAGGTGGTTGCTTTCCACTTTGTTGGCCCTCTGGCCACTGGTTGGTGTTTAAATCCTGGGGCTAAAGTTTAGAGGTATCACATCGGGACGTTATATGGGAGTGTTCGGATAGTAATAATAAAATAAATTAGAAGTCCTCAGTAATCCACGAGACGAATTTATTAAGCCTAATTAATCCGTCATTAGCATATGTTCACTGTAGCACCACATTGTCAAATCATGGACTAATTAGGCTTAAAAATTTGTCTCGTAAATTAGTCGCAATCTATGCAATTAGTTATTTTTTTAGTCTATATTTAATCCTCCATGCATGTGTCAAAACATCCGATGTAATAAGGACTAAACTTTAGGGTAAGGAACTAATCAAGGCCTTAATTTGTACACCTTTGTCCATAGAGTCAGTCTTTTTCATGGGGCCTCCTGCAATGCAAATATACAATGCAAGCCTGGCAATGTAAAGGTGGTGTGGTGCCTACTGAGAAATAGAATGATGAAGTATAACTATTAGCCTAATGATGAAGAAAACATGGGGCTGTTGTTCAAGGGTCTGTTCACCGTTGTGATGGTATTGTGTGTTTCTTGGAGTACCTGGATGCTGCACACTGTTAATTTCAGACTGTGATCACTGAAGCATTTTGTGTTTCAGAGAGATGATTCTTTTTCAACTGCTACTGTACACTAGAGTACAGTAGCTGATTGATTTCTTTGCCCTAAAAGTCAGCATGTTGGTGCCAACCCTCTTATCCTACTCATCCAGTCATCCGCGTGCCTCACTCAACACACCATTGTGTGACCACAGGTTGAGCCGCTATCTATCAATGATGCCATATCCCGTTGATCGTCTTCCCTCCACGCTCACAACCCTCGCCCCAGTCGCAGCATCGTCGATAGTCCTCTCAATTCGGGAAAAAAATTCGGTGCATACTATCTACCGTGCCTCCCTGCATACATGTCATAGATAGTTGCCATGTGTCCAGTTTGACCGATCCAACGGCATGCACCCGCTTGCCTCTCATGTGCTCGGCTCCGGCCTCCAGGTTCTCGTCCATGGTTTGCGGGCTGCATGTGTCGGATGCTTGTTGGTGGACACGTGCCGCACATCAAAGTTGCGTATGCATGGACGTTGTGTGCATCCAGTATGCACTAAATGTTTTCCCCTCAATTCGCCATTGCCTCCATGAGTCCACGTGCATCTCCAACCCAAGCACCGCCCTCCATCACGAGCCACCTCTCTTGTAGCAGCCCAACGTCGCCAACTTTGTCGTGTGCTACCGCTAGCCATGGGTGAGTCAAGCACCGTTGCACATGGTAGGCATGGCTGCCAGTGTCAGGAGCTTGATGCGAAGGAGGCAGACCCTTTTCTTCAAAAAAAAAAGGAGGCGGACCCTCCTTGAAGGATGTGACCAAGCCCTTGGATGGGCTTCATGATGTCCTAGAGCCTGATGCGTGTGATCTGTGAGAAGACCCCATGGGCACGCACAGAGGGCATAGGAGAGGACGACGCCGATGAGGATGCCGAGTATGGGGGCTCGCCGGGGATGATGTAGTCAACGTGGACAAGAACAAAGTCAAAGAGGGCAGTCAAGCTTGTAGAAGCGGTGGGAGATGAAGGAGCAACGACCGAGCACTTTAATGTTAGCGATGTGATTGGAGATGATGTGGAGGAGCAGTGGAGTGTCTTGGGGGGCCTTTTTTTTGAAACTGAGTATAATCTCGTTACTCAACGGCTAACAAAGCGTTAGCAACAAATTACATACACTTTCAGGGATGGAACTCATGACTTATTACTCCCCAGGATTACACAAATAACCCAACACGGCCAGCTCATGAGCAGCTTTGTTACAATCCCTACTCTTAAAAGAACACTCAAAACTAATAAAACTAGAAGACACTAGGGACTTTATCTCCGCAATTAAAACACCCACTGCAGTTTCCTCATAATCATTTGTGTTTAGCGCATGAACCATTATCTTTACGTTGTCTCCACGATTAGCCGGCCAATACCCAGATCTACTACAGCTTGTATTCCTTGGAGGAAGGCAATGAGTTCAGCTTGGAATGCATTTAAGAGACACTCTATCTTCCCTCTTCCTGACACTATCACATCCCCATCACAGTCTCGGATCAAATAGCCCCAACTCCCTTCTAGTGAACTCGGCAAAAAAGATCCATCACAATTAAGCTTTCAAAAGCCCTGTGGGGGTTTCCTCCAATACTCCTTTCTTCGGCGCACATTGTTGCCCGTCAAACTGTTGTCGGTCACAATACAATTGTAGTATTCTCTTTTGCATATGATTGAATACATCGAGCAAGGAAATCTGCTCCTCGTCTCCGACCTTCTTCTCTAATTATACTTCTCTCCTGCCAAATATACCACATGGTGATGATCATCAGCAACTTTTGTTCTTCTTTAGCCTTCAAAATTAGTCCGACTGCGTCCTTGACCAACTCAAAGGATGACTATTATGAGCCAAACGCCAGAAAAAATGTTTTACCTTGCCCGAGATTTTCAGCTTCCAGATTGCTTTCCAAATAAAATCGGATGCATTACCACTGCCACCTTGTGCCCCCCCCCCCGGCTCCATTCATAGCAGATCAGCTCTACAAACTTTGTAAGCACTCTTGACACTAAATCGCCCATGATTATCATAGTGCCATGCAATTAAGTTGTCCCTGCCTTCATGGACTGGAAGAGCCAAAATTACCTTGATGTCTTCTTCCCAAAAAATTTCCTTCACCAAATCCTCATTCCAGTCCCCAGAACTCAGATTTATCAGCTCCAAAACATAAGTTAGAAGACATGCCCCTCTAGGAGTAATTGACCTTCTGAATACACCTCTCAGCAACCAAGGATCTTGGCAAATATGCAGGTTATTACCATCACCAACACGCCAAATCATGCCCTTTTTTGTTACCTCCAACCCCCGAAGAATACTATGCCAAGTGTAAGACATATTCAACTTTGGCATAGCATCTAGCACCGAAGAATTTGCAAATTATTTGGCTTTCAAAACTCGAGCACACATAGAGTCTGGATTTTTCAGCAGCCGCCAACTTTGCTTTGCAAGCATAGCAAGATTAAAGGCATGTATGTCTTGAAATCCCAAACCACCATCCTCCTTAGGTAACATAAGCTGATCCCAACTTAACCAATGAATCTTGTTCTTCTCAACCTGCTGGTTCCACCAAAAGTGACAAATCATAGCACTTATCTGATCACACAAAGATTTAGAGAGATCAAAACATCCCATAGCAAAGGTCGGTATCGCTTGGGCCACTGCCTTAATTAAAATCTCCTTGCCTACCCATGAAAGAAATTTCTCATTCCACCCTTGAAAGCCCTAGTTTAGTTTTGGATAATTGATGAAACCTAGCACTAACCATTGTCATGAGTTGTGATATGAGCTAGGTTGGTGCAATCCAAGTATGGAGCATGGTGGTACTCAAGAGAAGGGGATGATCACATGTGATGATGATCAAGTGCTCAACTTGGAAAAGAAGAAAGAAAAAAAAACAAAAAACCGAGAAGATCAAGGCAAAGGTATAAGATAGGTTTTTGTTTTGCACTCAAGACACCATAGAGGGTGTGAGTGACTTAGGATCGATAGCCGTACTATAAAGAGGGGAAATCTTTAGCTAAACAGTTTATCGAGTGCCACTAGGTGACATGATTCTTGCATATGTATTTAGGAACCTAGTGTGCTAACTTTGACCTTTGTAAAATGCTTTGAAAAATGCTAATACATGTGCACACAAGTTCTACACTTTGTGGTTAGCAAGTTGGAAGCAAAGGCGAAGCGGTTGAGGACTTAGAAAAAAGAAAAGGAGGCCAAGGGTGCTTGACCGGACGTAGGGAACTGCGTGTCCGGTCCTAAACCCCCGGCTCTCGCAAGCGATGGTAGCGTGACATTGACCGGATGTTGCACCTAACATAGCTAGTGCATCCGGTCATGCTATTCAGAGGCGGCGTGGAACAAGGCACGATCAGATGTTGGCGGGTTCATGCGACCGGACGCCTTGTGAGTAAAGCAACTCCTCGACGTCACGATGACATCACAAGCACAGAGAGGAGGCCGGTGAGGACCAGACGCTGTGGCGTGTCAGGTCGATGTTGACCTAACGTGTTCGGTCAAGTTTGCGGCGCTCTGGAACCTCTCTAGACTTGACCGGACTCTAGGTCCCGGTGAGTCCGATCAGGTGAAGGAGTGCGTCCAATCGTTTGTGCGAGTGCTGGTCAAAGGCGCCAACGGTCATATTCAAATAATGGATGAGGTGGCACGCTGTGGTTGGCTGGTGGGTGTGACCGGACGCACCCGACCGAACTCTGGGTGAGTCAGGTCATCGAGTCCGGTCAGCCCCGAGGAGAGTAATGGTTGGATTTTTGTTGGGGGTCTATAAATAGACCTTGGCTGGCTCCAAGGCATATCTCTGAGCACTTTGACATACTTGACATCCTTGTGGACCTAAGCAAACACCTTCTACTCATCTCCATCATTGATTCATCATCATAGTGAGATTGTGAATGATTTCCAAGTGCATGTGCTTGAATGATTGCATCTAGTGGTAGTTGGGGATCATTTGTGGCAGAACCGCCTAATCTAATACCCTCTCAAGAGTACTTGTCTTCCATTAGACACTAAGTACCTAAGAGAGTGCACTAAATCATGCCGTTCCATCGAGCACACCCCAAGGGAGGACTCGAAAATACACATTTTTTCGTCCGGATCATAAATGAGAGAATAAAGCTTACAACATTCTTAACTATTTCTTATATCACTTTATTACAACAT